CGGGCCTACACCATTTCCGCCTCCATCGGAAATGCAGCCGCCGCAGCCGGGATTCGAACCCGCGACCTGCGGGTCAGCAGCCGAGGCTCTTAATTGCGTACACAGCCGCTAGCCGATTTCATAACCACGAGAACACATTAAGTAATACTCTTATAGTTGGTTTCGAATTTAGGAACACGCGTCTATCTCTTCAGAAACGCCGACAATGTAACCCGGTGGTCCAGATTAATGGCACGTCTATAAAACTAGCGTGTTCTGTTTTCTCCCACGTTCATGACACTTGACGCGTACGACATACGCGCTATTCGAAACGTCACACTGACATACTTTTGGCGTAAAATAAACAGGGACACATAACACCTGAGAACAAGAGGGGCACCAACTTATTAGTGGAAGGACACCGCATGCACGTTGAGCGCGCGCATGGCAGTCTATCATATATAACAACCCAAGAACCGCGTCAGACCGCGTTATCTGTCGTCGTTCAATTCGCGCCGACAGTTTATGAACCCAAGAAGCTGGAACCAAGATTCTACAGCGACACTACTCACCGATGCGCATCGTCGTTTCCGAAACCATCGGTGCGTTCGCCACGTGGTTGACCAGGTGCACCCTCTTGAGCGCCTAGCGGGCTGCTAGAAGCTTTGGCAGGCATTATAAAATGCGTAACCTTAATTGGCCACTATACGCCGGTCATGCTAACACAGAGAACAAAGTATGTACACGTGCGTATGCAACTTAGCCACTTTCACGGCTTTCGCACAATGGCGCTTATTTCTAGTGGTGCTCTCAGTTATCGCGGCTGCCACGGGGAGTCGCTACGTGCCGGCACGTAGCTGGATTCACGGTGGAAGAATCCGTGGCTGGATTGGATGAATAGATGGATTGGATGAATGGATTGATGTGGCTCTACCTGACGATAGTTATAGCGCGAGAACAAAACGACGACGCAGAGACAAGAAGCACACGCTTGTGTCCTTCGTGTGCTTCTTGTCTCTGTGTCGTCGTTTTGTTCTCGCGCTATAACTATCGTCATGCCATACCAACTAGCCCAAGCTGCCACACTTCTAAGTACCCTTTAGATTGGGCGGTGGCTGACGCCACCTAGTCGTAATAATTAGTGAACCAAAAACTAGATTTATTTATTTTTCCTTTACAATAGTGAGGTTGAGGACTCGTACTTTGCAGTGAAGGGTTTATTTTCACTCGTGCCTTGACTTTAGCCACCAAATCAGATAACCTCCTTTTAGTTAATTCTACCCGCTTAAAGTCTATTTTGCCCTCCCTTTCCCTAAACACCAGTGCTTTGAAAAACTTTGCGCCATCATCCTGAACTATAGGGTGAAGCCCTTTACAGAACATTATCAAGTGTTCGGCAGTTTCCTCCTCTCCACACGCACTGCATATCGCGTATACCCCTTCGTATTTGGCCCGATATGTCTTGGTTCGCAATACTCCCGTCCTGGCCTCAAACAGCTAGAGAACTACCCCGAGCATTATCACATATCCTTTGCTTAGCAATTTCCTGCTTAAAAGTTTGATAGATCTCTAGTGCGGACTTCTTAATCATGCCAATTCTCCACATGTCAGTCTCCGTTTCCTTCACCTTCTTCTTAACCGATAATTCTTTTTGGTTTAGCCCCCTGCTGTTTTCCAAGTTTTTACCAGTCAATTTTCTGGTTCGTTTTCGCCATTTTGTATCGACGTTCTTCATGTACAAGTAGCTGAATACCTTCCTAGCCCAACGCTCCTACCACATTTCTTTCAATCGCTTCTCAAATTTTATCTTGCTGCTAGCTTCCCTGCCGTCAAATGATGTCGATCCCATATCACCTTGTACTCCCTGATTTGGTGTATTCCCGTGAGCTCCTAAGGCAAGCCTACCTATTCCACGTTGCTTAATTTCTAATCTTGCTTGAACTTCTGATCTCATGCACAAGACCGCATTGCCGAACGTCAGACCAGTAACCATGACCCCTTTCCATATTCCTCTTACAACATCCACAGTGCCCTGTTTTTCATTACCGCTGCATTCCTGTTACCTTTAGTCGACACGTATATTTCGTCTTCCCTTAGGTACTCGGCCCCATTGCTTATCCATATGCCCAGATATGTGTATTTATCTGTTATCTCTAGCGTGACCTCCTGTATTCTAAACTCATTACCTTCATTATCATTAAAAATCATGACTGCTGATTTTTCCTTACTGAATATGAAATCTAACTTATCTCCCTCATTACCGCAGATGTCCATCAATCTTTGCAAATCTTCCTTGTTGTCGGCCATTAGCACTACATCATCTGTGTATATCAACGCTGGTAGTGCCTGTTCAATGAGTTTTCCTTGTTTGACGAAAGAGAGATTGAAGCCAAGTCCACTTCCCTCTAATTTGGCCTCTAATCCTTGTAGGTACATCATGAATAACAAGGGTGACAGAGGACACCCCTGCCTAATAATAGAGTTTATACAGTGCCTCCTCTATTTTGAAAAAATATAGGAGACGCTGGTTTATATTTTAGGAAACTATATGAGTGAGGACTATAGTGAACTAGAATTGAGGACACTCGGTAGACACTATTGACCACATAAAGTATAAGATGATGTAACAACGCCGCACACCCATCGGTTCGCCGATAAGCGTATGCCTATCGGCGGGATGACATCACTCAAGCTCCCCCCCCCCCCCCCCCCTCCTCAAAACCACATGCATAAGCCAGCCGCCAATTAACTTGCATGAAGGTGAAATCAAATGTCTAAACAGTTATTATGTAAACCCCCACGCATGCCAGATTGATAGGTTTGCATATTGCATGGGATTGCAGAGACAAGCTTTCATGCCTTCCATATTTTTTTGCCATTGTGCGCATCTTCAGTTGCTAGTAGGCATTTGTGGTGTCTTGAGTTCTTTCTTGTGTCCATGTTTGCATACCTTGTTTTTTAGAATGTATAGTCCTTAGCTGTTGCCAACAACCTAGCATGAACCAAGAAAGGGGGCGAATCAAAAGGGAAAATGATAAGGTATGCAGCAGAAGCTAAACAAAACTACAAAACTGGTGCCTGTTGTAAGACAGGACTTGACCTTGAAGAAGGTGATCAAAATAGTTACCGATATGATAGCCACCGCGGAGTGCGTGCAAAAGATAAGGGACGAATGCTGTGATCATGAATGGTACCATTTGTACATAATCACAGCCCACTGATGGTCAGTCAGGGAGTTTACTAAATATAAACTAGAGGAAACTCTGGCACTAGTGTCTATGGGAGCTGCAATGCACGGCGCTTCACTGAGCATGGGAATGATGGGTAGTACATGGATTTGTCTAATCTTCGTACTTCTGGCTCCATGTGTGTTTGTCTGGCTTGGAGCTGTTTTCTCGCGAAATAAAAAGCAGCAAATGTTCAGCGGTTGCGCTTCACCATCTTATTCTTTTAGACTTATCATTTCAAATCGGCTCACGAAGTTCAGAAGGGTTTGTTCTTTCCTTCGGAACAAAATTGAAACACAGCAATTAAAGAAGCCACAAGTGCGATTTGCCGCCCTAAAGTACGAAGACTCTGCAAATCCGTGTACCTACCCGTAATTCTCATAATGGCTGAACGATCGTTGCGCCACTCTCCTCTTTTTTGTTTTAGGAAACTCTATGTGGTCAATAGAACATACTATAATAGACTAGTTAATTCTATTGTGTTACATCATGTATAATGCACAGAATGACAGAAAAAGCAACGTGCCTTCACAGGAATGCAGCCTGGAATTTTTTTTTCAGTGGCAAGTAAGTCAACCATTCTTAATGCATGTTCATGCGTGCATTTGTATGAGTGGATACACATACACACATGGATACCAACACATGCAAAACTGAAAAATTTTAGCAAAGGGCTTCAAGTACCCTGACTCTCACCTGACTACACTGGTGTGTCTTCATCTCCTGCATACCACCAAAGTGCAACGCTTATGTAACTCCACTGTCAGCGTTTCTCATTGTGCCAGTGTTTTGACTCATTTGTATCTGCCAGGATTCTGTTTCTGTTGTACAGCAACAGTTGCACTATGTGCCATAGCATGCCATGCTGACTCTGCATATTGCATGCACGAGCTTGATTATACCATAATATAGCCCTGTCACAGTGGTCTAGTGGCTAAGGCACTCGGCTGCTGACCTGCAGGCCTGTGGGATCAAATCCCGGCTGTGGGGGCTGCATTTTCGATGGAGGCAAAAATACTGTAGGCCCGTGTTCTCAGATTTGAGTGCACATTAAAGAACTTTAGGTGGTCAAAATTTCTGGAGCCCTTCACTACGGCATTTCATAATCATATATGGCGGTTTCGGGATGGTAAACCCCACATATCGAATATACCGTAATATATACAGTTGCAAAGATACTTCGCACCTTACACAAGGCTGTTCAGGACAGTCCTCAGTGTTCAAAGCACCGAAGACATTCGCCTGAAATCGTTCACATACTTTGGATGATGCTATATTTTGAGTGACTAACTGTGCAGTTATTTTTACCTTGCTTGCTGGGCATTTAACATCGGCGCGACAACGAAACATCGCGAGTGTTCATGGCCAAGCGCAGGAAGAAAGAAGATGTTGCAGTGTTTTCAGTCTTTGATATAGCATATTTCTTTGTGATCCTCGGTGTGCTTGTTGATCAAACTTTGTTAATGCCCTGCTATCAATTTCAATGCTTTGTTTTGATGTAAGACTGTCGATTTTTGGGGTGGCCATGATACTTATACAAGCACTAGTTGTTCCGAAAATTCTGAGGATACCTAGGTCATGAAAGCAACCAATGGCACGCAATCTTGTAAAGCTTTATGTATAATGATACAAATCTGTAAGAACTAGGTAAGCTTTTTAGTATGATCACAGCATTGCAATGCTCTGAAAATATATTTCAGCTGGCAAACAAGTAACGTGATAAAGAAAATGTTGTCTGGTTTGAGCAACTGTCAAACACAATATTTTCTATGTGAGGCTTCATAGAGACGCACGTGCATGACACAAACTAAGCCAATCTTTATTTAATACTTTCAGAATGGTAAAACAAAACCCAATTCTATTCTAATTCAACTGAGGAGTGACTTAAGTTTACTATAACTTTTTTACCTAGTGAGAAAACAATATGTTTAAAACCAATTTGAACACTCTCCACATCAACATAAAAAAGTGACACAATTTTGGGTGCTCCTACAGTAAAACCTCGTTAATTCGAGCTCGGTTGTTTCGAAATACCGCTTAATTCGAAGGATTTTCGTGGTCCCGTATTTTGCCATGTAAGTCTGATAATTTGAAGCGGCGGCCGGCACCAGCCCGGTTAATTCGAAAACTTTGGGTACCATGTACGTGCCAGTTCCAGATACTGATTTCGCCAAGAATCCGCGGAAAAAACGGCCATTAATTGCCACAAGGCAATGCAAAGTATCGATACTAATAAGTGGTAGCTGAAGCACCTCAGTCTCGCTACTTCCAGCGCAAAAAAAAGAAGAAAAAAAAACAGTCTCATGGTAAGCGAAAACGTGCGCCTGCGGAAAACGAGTCGTGCTTCACTGCAACACAGTAATGACACGCGGGCAGCTTATTGCATGTTTCTCGCAACGTCAACGGGTAATGATTTACCCGTTCTTTCTTGGATTGTAAAGAAATTAATAAAGGACAGCTTAGCAAAATAGCGATGTATGGGAACCTTCGATTGCTGATTGCTCCAGTAATTCGTGTCTTTGCACTGCTGGCGGAGCTCTTGTCAGCAACACCTACTTCGAAAATCAAGTTCAAAAGTTTCAAAGATAATTTTTTCCAGCCAAAACACATCGTGAGCTTCGTCGTACTGGCCATTATTAAATTCATAATTATAATAGAAAGAATGTGCGAATGCTCGCATCATGACGTGCTGACGCAGCGAGGAGCAGGACATGCTGCCCGCGTGTCACTACTGTGTTGCAGTGAAGATGTCTTGTTTTCTGCAGGCGCACATTTTAGCCGATCACGACCGCGTTTTCTTTTCTCTATTTTTTTTTCCGGTGACAGCAGCGAGGCCCACGGTTCCTCGATGTTCGCAGAAAAATAAAGACCAGGTATTGTTGGAAATCATAACCTTTGGAGCCGCAAGCTAGCCAGCACAGCAAACGACGAGCACGTATTACTTTGAATAGTTCTAAGTTCTTGCATCCCACTTTTTGTATGCTTTTGTTAATTAAAAAACCCGCCTAATTCGAAGCTTTCTCGCGGCCCCTGTTACTTCGAATTAACGAGCTTTTACTGTACAAAAGAATAACACATGCAGGACATAGCTTCTTAGATGGTGGGGCATGAGTTCAACTGGACGTTTCCATGAACCGTACTCTCAGCCATACTCTGAAGTTTGCCATTGATCTGCAGGTAACGAATGCAGCCAACGTACTGCTCCTGCGTTGCCACGGCTCGCGTCTGGCTCGGATCTGGCACACCGCCAATGTAGAGAGGGTTGGCAGTGTCAGTGGCAGTGACTCCTCCTCGGCCAATACCCAATTTGCTGATGCCGCCGACAGCAAGGGACACAATGTTCTTGTTCTTCACAGCTGTGTTTGAAAGAAAGAAACAACACCGACTAAGGCCGTGCTGAAGCAATGCACTTCTTGGCAATTTACTGAAAAACGACATCCTTAGTCAACATTGATGAGAACTAACAGCCAGTGATGCCAAGGAAAGTATAGGGCATATTATTTGTAGTGATTGTAATGTAAATGTGAAGAAATAAAAGTGGACAAAAAGATAATTTTCCATTGGCAGAGACCAAAACTGCTACCTTTGAATAACGCGCTCCATCAACTGAACTACTGTTACTTGTCCTTGCCCATGCACTTACATACCCCGTAATGTCACCAAAGCTTGAGTCCACGTGAACTTGGGCGCTCTCTCATTATGGGGCAATAATCTCTTACGATTTCAAGAGTGTATAGTAAATTGATGCTAAATTAGATTATTATTATCAATTATATAGTATGTAACAGCTTTTATAAATTAATTTCAGCATCACCAGACACAAGTCTACAAATTACAGCAATGAAGTCACAAACACAAATTTTGTCATAAGGGTTCAATGAAACAAAAACTTGCTGCTGGTGTAGAAGTTGTCTTTATGTCTAACTCAATATTTTTCATGTTCAAAAAATATCATAATTACATTATAATAAAGTCCCCTATACTATTCCTGACTTCAGTAAGCTTGTGTCTAACAAAGAAAAATGAGGCCCTATACAGCAACTCTCACTTAAGTGAACTTCAAGGGACCGAAGAAAATCGTCCAGTTAAATAAAACTTCACTAAACTGTATATTAGCTGGAATACAGAACAGTATTGGGAAATCAAGATGAGAAGTCAAAAAATGAAATGCCATTTATTTTGAAAGGAATTTTGCAGTTATTATTTAGACTGGCACCCTTAAATGGATAGAAGAGGCAAAGCTGTACAGAAAGTTTATACTTCTGTGCACTGCCTCTGTCCCATTTCGCTACTGTGACACGAAGTCTCCCCACTGTCTAGTATGTCCTGAAGCCTCGGCTGAAGATACAAGTTTTTAACCTGCCTCAGCCATCACAACTTTTTCATCGCACTCTCTTTCTGTTCTGGGCAAACACTGAAAACAATTTTCAAATCTGATGATTCTGCACATGTATGACGTGCAAGTGGCTTGCTTTCATCTCTCATGCAGTCGCTCTGTCTCGGTGGCACTGCATGTATAAGCGATGTTACACCACAACCAATGTATGGACAATTTTGGGATGGCACACATCAGCTATGCCAGTACTGGAGAGGTTCATTAAATTCATCTAAAAAATGAGCCTGCGTTTGCAGAAAGTTCATTCAAGTGAAATAGTGTTTACGATTCAGAAATTCATTTAACTGAAAGATTTTCACATAGAAGGAATAAAGAAAATTGCCAGGGATTTCCTGAAAGTTCATTGTTCTGAAATATTCATTAAATTGATGTTTGTATATGATAGTTTATAGTATCTCCCTTGGTTCATTCTCTTGGTAGTTTTTTACCACATCTTCACTGCCACATTTTAATCAGGGTCATCGTGCAATGAGTTGCTTTAAAGATTTCACCTCGACGGGATTTAAGTGGAGATGACTAAAGATGGACTGTACGCTTAACTCTGCTAACATACCTTTCACAGTGTGCCACTCTCCATCACAAAGGTTTCCAGCACTGGCAGAGGCCTTGATAATTCCTGCACCAGTTGTCAGCACTAAATACGATGTTGCCATCGATCATTTGTAGCAGCACGAAATCCTTCTGGTTGTTGCTGTGAACTGCGAACAAGATTCCTGAAGGTCTTCGCGGCTTGATGTCCAGTTCCACAGTCATCTCCTTGCCCACATTGTAGCTGTCATCTGCACAAATGCATTCACCGTCAGCTGTCAGGCAAAACTAGTCGTCACACTTTCCGCTGCTCATCAATGGATGCATTGGATGTGTGAGAACACTGCTGCTCATTAAGATCAACTTGTAAGTTATGTTGAATTCATTTTGTAATTATAGTGTTTGTACTTTAAATGTGCCAAATTTTATTGTGTAAATGACCTGTTGTGACTCAAAGCATATTTTCGATTGATGATTGATTTGTGGGGTTTAACGTCCCAAAACCACCATATGATTATGAGAGACGCCGTAGTAGGAGGGCTCCGGAAATTTCGACCACCTGGGGTTCTTTAACGTGCACCCAAATCTGAGTACACGGGCCTACAACATTTCCGCCTCCATCGGAAATGCAGCCGCCACAGCCGGGATTTGATCCCGCGACTCAAAGCATATTTTCCTTGCCTTTGTTGTATTTGCTGAATGCAATCTTTACTATGTTCCTGCATGTCTTACATTAACAACTTTTGCTGTTCTCATTTCTTTATGCATTTATATCTGTTCCTTTTGTACACTGTACACATTAGACATTTTTTTATCGCCCTTACACAATGCTTCAAAGGGTCAGTAAGGTACTTTTAAATAACTACATAAATAAACAAAATTATATGGATGGCCTTGGAACAAGGAAACAATCATATTGAGCTGCCAGAAATTAGTCAAGCATAACACACACACAAACAAGGAAATATGACTGCGACTGAAACAACCTTAATAAAAACTAAAATAATGAAACTAAGGAACACATGTGGGATGTTAATTGAGCTGTTTTGAGAAGAGATGTAACTAGAAAAACACAAGAATGTTTCCCAAAAATGTATTTTTTTTTGCATTTACTTGCTTTCATAAGTTGTTTCTTAACTTTCATAACAAAAAAAAACAACATTGTAATTAAACTCAATATAGGTTAAAATCACTTTTAAAGAGCAAAACGTGGCCATTAAAGGCTAACAAGAGCTTATTGTCAAAGTCCCCTAGAAAGTGTCACCTAGCTGCTTGCATGAGAAGTTTGCCAAAGCTCAAGACAACAATGTTTCACAAGCTTTTATTATGAAAAAAAGTATATTAAAAGCCCATCTTTGCCACATTGAGCTGTCATTCCTACATTGAAAACACGTATTTCTCAAGATCAGTTATCACACATTTCTCAAGTTATTTTCAATCTGCAGTCAACGTGGAGAAATATGAGCCATAAATGACTCATGGCCACAAATTTTTAGAGGCAAAAAAGTGTGTCCAGAATGAGATACAAGTACTGTTGTGTTGTAGGTTTTCGGTTTCGGTTTCGGATTGACATGTGAGGATGCCAGGGGACGCCGCTCTGGCATCTAGGATTTCAAGGCGACTGTAAAATAAAGACAGTGTGTGTTGGGTAACCGTGGAGTGCGGTTGTTGTTCTTTCCTTCGGCGTTTCGCGCCAACCCGCGTGTTCGGGCTGGTCGGCGTCCCCGCCGGCCGCGTACGTCTCCGTCGGCCGTCTTCTTCTTCTGCTTCGTCGGGACCAGCCAGCCCCCAACACAGCAGGTACTTTACACATTGTCATGGTACAGAATGAGTACTATGCAGCTTACTATGAAACTGATTACATAATTGAAATCGGAATGAAAGCTTGTGTATACAGCTTACATATTTGAAATTGGAATGAAAGCTTGTGTATACAACATACATATTTGAAATCGAAATGAAAACTTGTGTATACAGCAAACATTTCATTGCCCTAGGCTGTAGATTACAGAAGCTTTTCTTTCGAGTAGCATATCCCCTTAAGTGTATTGTAGTAACCGTAATATAAATGTGCACAAAGTAAAGAGGACGAAAAGACAATTTGCTGCCTGCAGGGAGCAAACCAGCAACGTTCCTAGTTGAAGGTACCTAACGGCAGCAAGTAGTTTCTTTTTCCACCTGACTTCCTTCATAGTATCACAGTTATGACAATAAACTTAAAGCGGTACAATTAACATTCCCTGTACATTCCTTGACTTCATTTTCTGCTGGGTTTTTTCATAATTGAGTTGAACAAAGAAACGAGCCCTTAAAATTACCTTCTTTCAGCCTTGCAATGGAAACAGTAATATAAATGTAGCTGGATAAACAATATTGAGAGCCAGAAACCATCAAACTCTCACTTTTGACCACTGCCATGAAAATAATTTCAAAGGAATGAACTACACTATAAATTTTACATGCAGAACAAGAGGGTTCGCTATCCTTGAAATCTATAGTTGCACAGAATTTTATATAGTCATGGATGATTGCAGCAATGAAAAGACATAGTGGCGAACGGGATTAAAAAACTTTCATTTAACAGGCATATGGGCCCCTGCATGGTGGTCTTGTTCCCACACACAAAAAAGGCACAAATGTCAAGCACACTCATTGATAAATTCGGATCACTTTCTCCATGCACTGCAAATATATTGAATGGAAGATTGAAGGAGATTCTGCCCAGCATATGTTCATTAGCCAGTGTAATCAAACATTGGAAATGACAATGTGGAGCACCCATACAATCTCAAGCTCTGTATATTACAAGAATTTTCAGGTGGCCTGGTCGGTTCTGAAACAATATGGCATAACAGCACATACTACAGGACAGTAAAACACAGGACACAGTGCTACAAATATGTGCACAAATATGTTTATAAACATGTTTGCAACAAACTGCAAGTACTGTTTTTGTAGGAAAAGAAGGGAAATTCAAGAGAAGATTATGAGAATGCTGCAATGGTGTAAAAACAGAAAGATAATGTCCTGCCTTCAGAGAGTTTGTTATGCACACTGGGCACATGATGAACCCCTTAGTCATCGATATCGAAAAAACTTTTTTTCCCGTTTGCTTCTGTAGTAACTGATCATGGCTTTTTGTGCATACTAAATAGGAGCATAGGTAACATTTTTTTATACGGATGCATTGCCTGCAGAAGTGATATGCAATGTTCATAAATGAGTGTATGTCACTTATTGCTGTTTGTATAAATAGGGCCCTTGTGGAAAAGCTAAAGCATCTCCTAAATGAACACATTCTCACCTTGGTAGGAACACTATTTTTTTTCAATAACTATGTTTTCTTATCATCAATGTATCTCCACTATGCTGGCACACATAAAAGCAGAAGAGCATTAACACAAGGGCATGAATGAGCTTGTTTGCAGAAATTACAGCGGCGGTACTGGCAGCAAAAGAGGCAGTGTCTTTGGTTTTGAGCGAAAAATCAGCATTGCTTATGAGCGAAAATTCAAGGTTTATGCAAATAAAAACACAAGAAAAAATCTTCAATTCAAGTGCAATTGGGTTGTCGAACCTGCAAACTTTTGCTCCATGGTGCAATACATTTAGCCACACAGTTGCCATGCCCACATTCTCCAGTATACTAATGGCAAGCTATTTATAGACACCACTTAGCGGTGGCAGTACGCACATCTTGCAGGTTATTTGGTGACTTGTCAGAAGTCCCACAAGAGGGTTCAAAAAGCCCGGAGCTGTGCTTTCAGTATTCCGTCGCATTTCATGCATGAACACAGAAGTCGGAAGTCGGCATGCATCCACACTTTTGCTTTCCTTGCGGCACACTTTAGATGCTGACTAAGAAGTGAAGCCAGGCTAGCAGTTGGGAAGGCAATACAAACAAGGTCCAATCATGCTATTGCTCTTGAGAATGAAACTCACGCATCTTTCCCTTCCCCACTTACACAGAATGAGATGGCTGTGATTGGCCCCGAAGAATGTGCCTGTTTCCACTTTCTGCGAGCAGCCCGTAACACCAACGCTGACTCTAGGTCGCAGCATCTGCCGGTCTTGTACTTCAAGCTTGCGGATGCATCCCGGGAAGGAGCCGGTCACTCCCTGCAGGCATAAACAGCACACAAAGGTTCGCACCACTGTACCAGTGAATAGTACAGCCTCACATGATTGTTGTTTCTGACATGGGAGAGACTTACGCGAAGGTTGTTTTTCACTTGAGAAGAGACGTTGCGTGGAAGTCCACCCAGATAGACGGGGCTCTTGACGTTGATTGAGCTGGTAGTACCCTGTGAGCTGCCCTGTGCCGCCGTCGTATTGTCCATGTACAGCACGCCCATCTGGCCCCGGCGGCTGAACTCCAGTGAATGCCATTCCCCAAGGTTGTACACCTCTGTTGTTGTCAGAAGGCCTGGGCCCGTGCCACAGTTGAACATGACGTTCACCTACAAAATTCCCCAGAATGTGCCAAAAGGTTCCAAAACAGCATATAAGAACAAGACTACAGTTGTGTAGCTTAGAAATAACACCTTAAAGGAGTGGTACTACCATTTTTGTGGCTTGCACGTTCTTTGCTGCAAGTGTTTGCGATAGCTCCAAGATGAATGATACACGGACCAAGATTTATTTATTCTCGCTAAGTAAATTGATATCGCCTTTCTATGTGGATAGTTTTTGGTTTCGGTTTCTGGGCACTGAATTGAACTGTGATGTAGCGGTGTAGCTTGGTCACATGGCCACACAAGGCTGTGACGCACGCCGTGTTGATTATCGTCTGCTCTCGCTGGCTTTCTCGCACACACATCCCGCACAAGCATCTGCAAAACAAACGTATAGCAGTCCGAAGGTGACTCACCTCACTACAATAGGCGTGCGCACAGAAAGGGAATAAGTGGGCGGACCCTCCCATAGTCGCCTAAGAGGGGGGCAGTGCAAGTGCAGTCCCTCCCACACATTGACATAATAAAGAGGGGGCACGAAGTCAGACCCATGCATTGAAATAATAGGAAGGGGGTGCACTGCGACAAACCTTTGCTCTCCATGATGGGGAAAACATGCACACGCCTATGCTCACTACAGATTTGGTGTGACGTCACTGCAACTTTCATCGCCCTTCCGACAGAGCTGCGACAGTTCTGGATCCGCTTGCAATGAGCTTCGGTCGGGAGAATGAGCATTTAGGTACACTTTAGAGGTGAATTAAAATATATTCTAAATGTTTGCTGTGTACAGAATACAGAGGAAACCACAAGAGGCTTGTTTTAGCCTCGAAAACTGATATCACCACCCCTTCAACCAAGCGTAATGAATGACTGGCAAGGTCTGCGATACATGAAGCCATTAAGATATTTAAGCTAGTAATCTTGCCAGTTCTGGTACCTGCATAGTTTTTGTAGCTGTTGTTATGAATTTGCAAAAAATCACTAATGTTAATGCTGTGCAGATAAAGGTTCTTTTAATCTTGCACGCTTTCTTATTAAAAGACATAGCTTATAAGGAGAGTCACTTGAGTTGACATGACAGAAGAAAACTGGTGTGTGTCAGTGATCATACCTGCACTTGTAATAATACACTGCATTCCCACATGCATAATTAGTGCATAAAATCAATTGTGTCCAGTAACAGCTAGTAGGCCCTTTGCCAACCTTAATGCGCTATTTCGCATGACATCAGTGTACTGCAGCAAAAGTGACTAAAACATTCTATGTGCGATCAGAAAATTTTTAAACAGATGTCCCAAGTCGTACCCTTTTTTTCACACAGTGGCAGTATCGCTGTTTTGGAAGATTTATGGCTGTGCTTGTACAATTGGGAGAATTGTTTGAAATTCGGGAGTCTCCCAGGAAAATCAGGAGAGTTGGCAGATACTCTTTAGCCACTACAAGTTTGTTAGACGAAATGCTTTTAGCAGCTGTCACACTTAATATGTACTTCCGATTCACAAGAGCCGAAGTTGAAGCCCTGCCTGTACACATGGCTCAGTGTGCGCAGACTGTGCACAAAAATGCACGGTGAGCATGCACAACGTGTGATTGATGATTGATATGTGGAGTATACATTCCCAAAACCACCATATGATTATGTGAAACGTCGTACTGAAGGGCTCCGAAAATATCGACCACCTGGGGTTCTTTAACGTGCGCCCAAATCTGAGTACACAAGCCTACAGCATTTTCGCCTCCATTGAAAATGCAGCCGCAGCGGCCGGGATTCGATCCCGCGACCTGCGGGTCAGCAGCCGAGTACCTTAGCCACTAGACCACCACAGCAGGGCAAAACAATGTACGAGCAAACATGCACTCAAACCTCGATACAAAGAACCCGGAATAACAAATTATCAGTTATAATGGAGTAAATAAAGAATAGCTTTGTTATAGTTACAGTGCTACAAATATATGTTTATAATGAATTTTCGGATACTGTTGAACCCTTTTAGAAGAGGCATGCTCCGGGCTGCTATTTTTGTCTTTTATATGAAATGTCTCTTATAAGCAGGGTACCTCGTATGCATTTTCTTATCAACCAGTGTTTCACTGTAGGCACACTGGTGTCTCTCATATCCTTCTTTTATATCAGTGTCTCTTATAAAAAGGGTTCGACTGAACAGCAATATATTTTCGTAGCAGATAGGACTTTGTTACAGTAATAACCTTTCATAAAGCAACAAATGTACAAATACTCAAGCGAGCAACCTTCGAGTTGAAAAACTTACTCTTCCTTGCTTCATGAAGATGGCTATGAAGTCGACTTTGTTGCTGTTGGTGACATAGAAGAGGATACCATCCTCATGGCGGGTGCGGAACTCCAGTGAGATAGTTGAATGCTCCATCAGACTATTAGCTAGGTCTGTCGGAAGCCTAAACTCGAGTCGGCTCTCAGGACTGTTGCCAAACCTAAGGCCACTCTCGGGTGTCACGTCAGAATCATGAGCTGGCTCCAGGGGCAGAACACAGCCTGGAAGTGGACCGCTCAGAGAATGCCTACCTGGACCTGTAGAAAAACAGAACTTTCGTTTTGGTATTGTCATTGTCAGTATTATATTTGACATCTGTGCTTGTGTTCATTGTCTCTGTGAAGCCAACGCAGTTCAAAGTAAAACATACACAAATGAGGGACAATACTGGTACTGCAGGGCCTGCTACACAGTCAGCACCTGCAGTGTTTGCTACAGTGTTCCTTATTCTGGGTTTGCTTTATATTACACTACTATGGTTTGGTTAGCTATTAACCAATCATCCCATGAGCAAGATAATCTTTCTGAGCCATAGTGCAGAGTAGCTGGCTAGAGTAATTGGAGTAATGACAACCTTCCTGTCTTAGCTTGGAAATGAGCATTCCCTTGTTATGATCATTGACACTGTTACTGTGGCTTACGCAACAAGATTTTTTCCCCTTAATTTGTAGGTCTTGATGTACACCTTCAAAGCAATCTGACTTAGAAATCAAGTGAAATAAGCAACCACTCATACCCATTTGTATCCACTACACCAGCCATAGTTTATTGCAAACATAATGCATGAAACATAATGCATAATGCATGCAAACATAATGCATAATGCATGTACTACAAAATTACCAACAAATTGCTCAGCTACATGATTGGGCATACAACAGATGCGAAAATGAAAGTGATTGTGTTCATTGCAGAGAGCACACAGCCAGAAGAAAATTTGTTATAACTGCAAGCAGGAGGCATATAATGGAGCATTACCTTCAGTCACAGTTGTTGTTTCCTCAACAGATACATCATCATCATCGGGCCCAGGCAGAGGGCAGCTGGTGAGGGCAGCATTGAAGCGATCTGCTGTCGCGGCAAAGTTCTGAAGCACACCTCGCACAGTGGAATCACCCAGACACCCAACAAAGAAGGTACGTCCATCAAGCTGAAGCTCGGGATTAGCCTGAACTCCAGGTGGGAGACCTCCAAAGTAAAGTGGGCTGGTGGTGTGTATCAAAACAGGCTCCACTGCATTCTCCTGCACCTGAGAACGCCACAAAAAAGAAGCTGCACTTATTCGAATAATGCATTAGCTAGAGATGCGAAAGCAAGTGGCGTAATAATGTAGTTAGAGGAACACATAGCAAGACTTGCAAGGTGGTCTATTTGGTAAAGGTCCACTGTTAAAAAATTTAAAACACAGTGAGAGCTAGACATTTAATGATACAACTAACACAATCAAGGTATAATCTATCAAAAACTGTATGTTTGTTATCTAGCTGTTGCACCAAAGGTGCACATGCCCTCAGTGTAACGTGTACTACCATTATGCGCACTCTTTACTGCCACAAGTGTTTGACTGCCAGTTGTCATTTGAATAAATAAAGTGATGATTTGGTGTTACGAATTGAAATTCATCCACTAGAGATGCTAAGATAAAAGGAGAGGGGCACAATTGTGGATCAATGAAGGGCTTCTCTGCCAAAGGTCTTCTCTGCCTGTACTGAAGGGCTTCTCTGCCTGTACTGTTCATAGACTAAATGAATTCAAATAAGAAAAAACACATTTGAACGTCACAATCTCTTTAACACAGAGTCACCAAAAGTTCAGCTTCTGGACATGTATCAGTTCAAAACCTATCTAACAAAGTTTAAATCACACATGCATCATCAACAATGGCAAATGTAGAAAAATGGTGACCACACACTCGAACCTCGATATTACGCACATGGATATGCTAAAATACCGGTTATAACAAAGTAGGTGCATCTCGATGTAAGGAATATTGATATAACAAAACATCAATTATAATAAAGAAATGAAGAATGGTCTTGGGAATGTACTTTTATAACAAATTTTCTCTCATTTTCGTGTAAGATGCAACTTTGTTATAATGAGGTTTGAGTGTTCTCTGCCCTACAAAGGTTTCAGTAAACACATCACGAAAGTTTGTTAACACAAGTGTTTTAATGCTGCTTAACTTGCGTGAGTACTCACCACAAGAGCATCGTCAATGTCCAGCCTCAACCTATTGGAGTAGCTACTGGCAGTGACGTAGTGCCAGCGGCCATCATCGTAAGTTCCCTCGGTTTCTACACGGCCACCTGGTCTTGCCTGTAGAAACAGCCTTCCGCCGCGCAATCCTAGTGCTAGGAACTTAGAGTGGTCCTCGTTGCTCGTGTAGAAGATGAGACCGTTGGGGCGCTTAGTACGGAACTTCAGTGTCAACTGAGCGTTCTCTGTCAAGTCCATGAATGGCATGGCAACAAAGCCAGGAGACTCTGCAGAGAATGACACCACTCGTGCTACCTGTGCAAAGAAATATTACCAGTCAATCACAAAATGTGGTATTAACTGAATAGCAGTATACATTTATACATATCAATACTATATTATTAAGCATTCATAAGCTATATTTAAAGTCACAATAAGTGCAGTAAAAAGAGGAAAACAATATTTCTGCACGTTTGCGATATATTGCTAAGAAGTTCATACACATATCTATAGACTTGACTTGTTTCAGCAGTACAGGTGCCAATGATAACAGCAATTTTTTTAATTTACTATTTTCCTAAAAGCACTAAGTATCACCACAGATAAGCTACACTATGCAGGTGAAATAGATTAATTTTTTTGTACTTCAATTCAGAGCCTTTACTCCACAGAAGCCTTGTGGTGTGTATCACAATTGCTACATATATATGTTGGCTCTTTTTCAGTATTGTTAAAAAGGGAGACCTTGCATTTCATGCATATTATGTGCATAAATGCATCACAGACACTGCCTTGAGATTGAATTCTTGAAGATGTCACACACATTTGGAGGGCAGCCTGTGGTCACAGCAAGGGCCTCCTTGGTTTTGTGCAAGTCAACGAGCCTTGTGTCCAGCTCCAACTCTTCTATGCACCCCTCAAAATTCATGCGTGTCACCTCCCTGCATAAGCAAAGTTAATTAAGTAAAGCACTTGACAAAGAACTCTACTGCCTGTGGCTGATGGTTGAGAGAGCAGTGCGAGAAACCAGCTTCTCTTCATCACTAAAGAAGCAGGCAGGTACAATGGACTGCCATTGTGACAGTCCATTGTACCTGCCTGCAGTGAAAATTTAAAATGACCAATCAAACAGCAAGCCACAGCTGCAAAAGAACTTTAACATTTTATATGTTCGTAAGATAAGGTTCCTCCTGCTTTGGTATTAAAGAACCTGCACAGTCTTTATATATTGCTGCAAAAAATTTACCACTGAAATTGATTACAAGTAGTGCATACTGTTTGTTGAAGCAACAGTGACAAATCATCAGAGATGGTACTTGCCTAACCTTTAATTAGCAGCCATGAAATAACATCTAAACAGACAAAATCCGCATTTGGTGGTGGTCAATTGTAGTGGCAGAAATCCCAGATCATGGCCTCTATTATTTTCGGAATCGGACAGGTGTTTTAACCCTGTAAATGACGTAAAAGTGTTGTGCTGGTTGTCAAAATTCCAGATTCTGCGTATTTTCTGGTACACCATAATGGCAGCAGTATTCCTTAGTCTTGCTATCAAGAAGGTCTGCATTTACTAACATCTCATAGTGCATCAGAACGAAAAATTGGGCAAGTTGTTGTGCTTTCATCTTGAACGAATATTAGTGTGACAAAAACGGGGATTGGAATAGAAAAGACAAAGGCAGAATAGAAAAAACTGCGCTTATTTTTGGAATATATTTTAGTTACCAGTCAGCCCCATAATGTGTCTTTTCTGTTTCTATGCTAAATTTGGTCGCGCTAATATTTGTTCAAGATGTTTCCATAATGCATTCATAACAAACCCAAAAAAATTTTGTACTGAGGCTGCTACATCTCATACCATTCCAAACAAGGCTTCTTATATAATGTGAAATCACAGTCCAAACTTTAATTTTAACTGGTATTTGTGCAGTAGCTATTTCTGTTAAGCGGGACAACAACTCACATGTGACCATGAAAAGTCGGATGGCCCCCAACAAATATGTCATCGGTGGCATCAATGCCTGTCTCTGGGCCTCTATAACTTGCAGGAACAGAATCGTTGCCGCCCACCTGACAAAAAAAAAAAGAAATAGATAGCTGCAGACTATTCATCAGTTACTAGCATCTCATCAGAAACTAGCAGTTTCATACTAAGTGCAATACCATTGACAATGATACCAATATTAAACATTTTGCTCATCCTCCTTGGACAATGTTCAAAAAGCTAGAGTATTGCACACCACCACTGGTGGTGCCGGCAGTGCACATGATCGACAAGACGGGGCTAATACAAATTTGTCAGCTCTATCAGAAAGGTGCTACACTCAAACCTCATTATAAAAAGTTGCATCTTACAAGCAAATAAATTCGTTATATCTGAAAATTGGTTGTAAAGGTTATTCCGAACACTGAATTTATTGCAAGACTATTTTTCATTATAACCGATATTTTGTTGTATTGAGGTTTGAGTATAATTATCTACATGCACTTGCTTGTGAGCTGCAGTTTTCTACAAGTACAGCTTGACTCAGTATGTCTTTAACAAAAGCTCCACTGTTGATTTGCTACCAGAATGGCTATCAAATTTCAAGAGAAACACATCATTCAAGTGAACTCACCGTAAGATCAAATTCATTACCCAACTGGGCAGCTCTGAGTTGGTGCCACTGGCCGTCATTGTAGGCTCCATTGGATTTCAGCTGTGTCATGCCACTGCCAAGATTGAACTTGTACACAACATGGCCATCACGCAACTCCAGGGCCATAAATGTTTCCTGCACAGTCGTACAAGTGAAGCATTTTCAAAGACAGAAAACTGCATCTCTAGAGGGATGGAAACAACGCGTAGGTGTGGGCTCATGTCCAAGCTTCATTTCTTGCCTCAAGAGGCCACTATGGGCCAGTCGAGCTAGTGTGAGTCTTGCTTTCTATTGTGTAAAATATGTTACGAAAAGATGGACACAAGAGCTAGCACATGTTGCACTGTACTTTTCTACTGGCAGCTGCCGAATGTACACAGGAAACTGGTTTCACATTCACTATCAGAGCTTACAAGTGAGAGAGTACCTATATCCATTCTTGCTGCAGCATTTTATTTTTGTGTGTGCTCTAATTTGCCTAAGACTGCATGTATTACAGCCTGCAGTTACTTTAGAACTTAGAAAGGTACTGTGGCTAGACTGGAAAACATTCATCAAATGCACTGACCCTGTTGTGTATGAGGAAGAGCAGTCCCTCCTTGGCATATGTGCGGAACTTCATGCTGATGCTGATGCCATCGTTGAAATCACGCCGCTCCTTGGACACTATGGCATAGCCTGTGCCATCAAACCGTAGGCCCCTGCCACTTGGAATGTCGATGAGGCTGTCCCGTTCCTGGCATCCCTCCAGCTTTCCTTGGTGGCTGTGGAAGTTCCACAAGCCAACAGGCAGTCCACCAAACTGAAGTTCTTCCAAGTAGCCAATAAATGGCATAGTGTCCCGTTGGCTTAGCGGAATCTGAGCATTGTCAAAAAAGAAAGCGAAATGGCATGACTGAGCACACGCAGAATCCGCACTATACTGCCAATAAAAGTGTCATAAATGTGATGACTGAAAAATACTTTTATTTCCAATATACGTACAGTCAAAGGGGCAATATACACATATATCCCTTCATAAGAGACAACCATAACCGACAAGTGTGTATAAGAGACAGCAGTTCGTCATCGTAATAAAATGCACACGCAGTACCCTACTTGTAATGGACAGCTCATATAGAAGACAAGAATTGCTCCCCGACACATATCTCTTATAAAGGGGTTCATGCTAAGAGAGTTGACTCACTGCTAACTTCTCTATCATAATGATATAATTTACTAACAATAAACCATGAACACAGGTTTTAAACAAGGCTATTCTATCCATGACTGTGCCATAAAAACTAATGTAAATATGCTTGTTTTAAATTTCACATTTTCAGTGAAATCCTACGCATATGTAACGCCGCTGCTTTGAATGTGCACACTAGCAGTTTTAGTCCACAACAGTACTGTATTTACTCAATCATAACATGACCACAATTGTAGCGGCAGGGATTACTTTTCATTGCGTCCAGGAAGAAAGAATAGTTACTTCAGTACATGATTGTAATGCAAGGGTCAAGCTTGGGTGTCATAAATGTGGTAAAAAACTCACATTACCTTAGAGAAAATACAGTAGTTTATCTGCATTTCGTCACTTTTCCTACATATGCGATTCTGAGTACATTAAAACTTAAAGATCCCCCCACCCCCCCTTAAAAAAAGCTGAATACATATAAAGTAACGACTGAAATATAATCTCAATTGGTTGAGTGAGCAAAACTGATCTTTTAGCACTGTGGCTCAGCACTAGTCATAAGCACCCAGGTACCCCTACATTGCATTTTTTCATTTTGCATTTTCTCCCATTGATATGCCATACTGCTGAGATTGAGAATCGAATCCACACCCTTCTGCTCGGGAGTGCAATGCTGCGGCCAGACAGGTGTGAATCTGCTAGCACTACCATAGCACACAATGTTATACGTACATCTGCAGTTTCTGGCACACCTCCAAGGTAGAACTCGGACAGCGCCTGATCCAAGTTGAACACGCTGTTGGTGCCTTGGAGGTACTTGGTTTTTATGCTGTCAGGTTCACTTTCCGTGCGCACTTCAAGATTGACCGTCTTGCCAGTCCTGGGTAAAAATGAGCCAACAAACGGAGTGTCAAGGGCCGCACTGTTTTCTCTCTTTCTAGAATATTTATGGATATCCCCATCTCTAGATAAGTTTCCAAGTAATAGACAATTATCAGTGTGTTTCACTGAAGAAATTCTTGCATGAGATAAGTAAGAGCAGTTATATATCCCTCTGCACTTTTGAAAAGAAAAGTATATCTTTCTGCTGCACACCAACAAATGCCCTTTACCTTGTCTGTCTACCTTGTCCCATATGGGCTCACAGTGACATAGCGTTCTTGGTAGGAAAGTAGTGAGCACACACTTTTTGAACAAGGAAATGTTAGAGAACCTGATGACAATTATGGTTGCACAACAGAAAGAAGCCATGAGCCCGTTTCTTTTTGGTGGCATGTCCAGCAACAGCGTGACATATTCTTGAATAATAAAAATACAGGCTGCCACCTCCTGTCAGCTCGAGTCACAAAAGTTTGACTTAGCCATGCTACAAGTAGATTTTGGCAGCAGATAGAGAAATTACCACTAATGCTGAAAAATTAATTTGTCGCACAGCAATAAATCTGGCACAGCTCATCATAACCACTGACATGTATTGCAAATAAACATGTATATAAATGGTACATTTTAAAATCAAAACTTCCAAAACACAGGCATTTTAAATTATTCTTTTTGTTTATACCTTTACGAGCAAAAGCATGCAGCTAAACTGCAAGAATTTTTTTTCATACAGAGGTCACAGAAGAATCAAAGCTGTCTTTATTTTGAAGTTTTAAAAAAGCTTTGAAAAATTTTCCCAAGATCCATTTAAACTTCCCGCTAGCTTTTGTTAATGTCTGTTTTCCTGTTAATAGGCACGTTGGCCGATGAGTTAAAAGAGCTGCATACCAATTTGAAGGAAGCTCAATGGGGCCAAAATTTTGTACACGGCAATATTAATAGGTGTTTACAGGTATTCTTCAGCAGTTTTTTATACAGAACTTCCATCTTATTTTAGATTTGAGGGCACACTGCGAAATATTATGTGTGATTAGCAAAGCTTTCATTTGCTCAGCAAGAACCAATGGTCACTGCCATGTTTAACACTTTATAGAAAGAAGGGTCAGATAATTAAAGAATATGATCATTACCTCATTATTTCATAAAAACATACCATTCTTGCTCATGAATCGATGAGTACTACTCTACATTTAGAGGAATTTTTGTATATTTCTCTTTCTTTCTGGAAATGAAGAGTTTGCTAATTAATGTGTAACTAGAAGCTAGGACATCCAAAATATTTAATTATTTTACCTTGATCATGTGTGAGTACGTGCACTTTCTGGATAGCTCAGTGATATTACACACGCTCAGCAGCAGTGGCACCGAAAGGCCTGTTCGCGGTATCCCTAGCGTGATTGTCTTCCAACTTGCAGGAATTGACGCGCAGCAGCTTCACTGGAGTAGGATACAAATGAACACGCGACGACCAAAGGACCACGTGCTGACCTACGTCATCAAGGACCATCTTCAAAAGCAGTGAACATTGAGCGCAATAGCACACACGCTCAGCAGCAGTGGCACCGAAAGGCCTGTTCGCGGTATCCCTAGCGTGACCGTCTTCCAACTTGCAGGAATTGACGCGCAGCAGCTTCACTGGAGCAGGATACAAATGAACACGCGACGACCAAAGGACCACGTGCTGACCTACGTCATCAAGGACCATCTTCAAAAGCAGTGAACATTGAGCGCAATAGCACACACGCTCAGCAGCAGTGGCACCGAAAGGCCTGTTCGCGGTATTCCTAACGTGATCGTCTTCCAACTTGCAGGTTGGTGCTCGACCTTATTCATTTACACTGTTTTAAACGTTAGCAAGAGACCTGGTTGTCGCTGCTGCTGAATGAAATGGCAAAAAACTGTGTTGCCTGTCACAAGTGTATCCCAACTGATTCTGTGTATTTATCATGTTCAGAGTGCAATTATGAGTATCATCTCGGTTCATGCTCAGGCGTTACCGAAAGCGCATACAAAAAGAAATCGTCTGAGGCCAGAACTTCTTGAAAATGTCCGACTTGCAGAACCTCGAATGTTCCGAGGCGGCTCGAGTAATGCAAAAGAAAAAATGGACCGTGAAATAGACCTTGCTAATGAAATTGCTGAAATACACGGTAAACTGAACATACTACTGACAATCAAAGAGAAAATGGACGCACTAGAAGGCATTATTGCCACCGCTGATACCATTGAAAAGTCTGTACAAGCAATGTCCAATAAGTACGATGAAGTAATAGCACAAATGAAAAAACAAGGTGCAGATATAGACTGCCTAAAGACACGAGTGAAAAAGCTTGAAGAACGCGCAGAAGAGCAGAAAATTGACAAACTCAAGCAAGAAATGAACGATCTAGACCAATACCGCAGAAGACTAAACCTTGAAATTCACGGGCTTCCGCAACAAATGAATGAAAATGTTCTCGAAAAATTGAACATACTGGCAAATGACTTGAAGCTGCCTAGGCTGTCAGAATCGGATGTAGAAGCCGCCCATAGGCTTCCGAAAAGAGCAGGGCAAGACGAGGCTGATAAGCCCGCCCCTATATTGGTACGCTTCACATCTCGACTGACGCGAGATATCTGGCTCAAACAGCGACAAGAACTAAGGAAATCAAAGTCCAAGATCTTTTTCAATGAAAACTTAACTGCACAGAACAAAAAGCTGTTCTGGCTGATGAGGTGTAAAGCCCGTGAGCTGCATTATCAGTTTTTTTGGGTTAAGAATGGGAAGATGTTCATGTGACGAAGCCCACGTCATCAAATTGTTAACATAAGAACTGCTGAAGATCTAGAAGGGCTGTGGTAACTAAAAAAAAAAAAACTAGAAAGTTTTTTTTCTGGCCGACTTAATTCATGGCTTTTTTCACACAGTCGCAGAATTATTATGATGCCTTTTCTTTTCGACAATTAAAAGCTACACGATACGTCAAACACCTATCCTTGTTAAATCTAAATGCCCGTAGTCTAAGGCACAAACAAGAATCTGTAAGCCTTTTTTTTTCGATACACTCGAACATAATTTCGATATCTTGACATTTACAGAAACCTGGTTTTCTGGTGATAACCCTGATGTACATTTCGCTGGATACAAATGTATTCAAATATCGTGAGAGAACAGAAGAGGAGGTGGTCTGGCGATTTATATTAAAAACTCTCTCCTATATGAAAATACTTTGGAATACTCCCATATTGAACTTGACTATGAGTGTTTAATGATCAAATGCATGGGCACAATTGTTGTCCTCATGTACAGACCCCCTTCTGGTTCTGTTACTGTGTTTCTTAATTATCTTGAAAGTGTTCTAGAATACTGTTGTCAATCTGGATTTCCTGCGATTTTCTGTGGTGACTTTAATATCGGCTTATTGGCAACAACATTTAACAGGCAAAACGTCGTTGATATTTTCTGCTCTTTTGGGTATCAAAATGTAATTAACATGCCAACAAGAATTACATACATATCTGAAACGCTACTCGACTTATGTTTTACAAACTATCAGCCATGTGAATGCGATGCAGTTGTACTGATAGCAGACTTAAGCGACCACTTGCCCTTCTTTATTTTCTTCAAGTCATACTTGTCCAGACATAACCAAACTATTCAGAATACAACCAATAAATGCAGAATAATATCTGCGGATAATATTGCGATTTTTCAACACTTAGTTGAAGGTATAGATTGGAACTCTGTGACAGAGATCAAAGATCCCGTTGCTTTATACCGCCTTTTTCTAAACACTATCAAAGGTCTCTATGACATTGCATTTCCTAAGACAACGATTAAAAAAACCCGTAGGTCTAGAAAACCATGAATAGATTCACACCTTTTAAAAAGAATAAAAGTGCGTGATAGTCTGTTTAGTGTATTTATCAGAACAAAAAACTTGGACACATTAGCTACATACAAAAAAAATAGAAATTAACTTGGCACTGATATTAAACAAGCGCGTTTCGCGTACTACGAAAACATGTTTGCTGGTATATCGAATGACTCCAAAAAAGTTTGGAAAAAGGTCAATGACCTTATGTGCAAAGATGATAAATCGGTTATATCGGAGCTCGTGATAGACGGTGAACCATGCTCAGGTCCGCCACTTGCAGATAGGTTCAATGAACACTTCCTTAGAGTTGGCGATTGTGGGACTACTGCTGGGGAGATAAGCAATCATACTTATGTAACTAGCAACATTTCATCCTCTGTTTTCTTGTTTCCCACATCCGAATCCAAAATATACAAACTGTTGCAAAAATTAAAAAATAATTGTGCATGTGGCGTGGATGACTTAAAACCCCAGCCTATCAAAGCAGTTGCCCATGCCATAAGTAAGCCGCTTTCACATATCGCTAACACAATTATTAGTTCAGCTATTTTTATTGATGAGCTAAAGATTGCGAAAGTATCTGTCATCTTTAAAGGCGGTAATAAAAATGACCTTAATAACTATAGGCCTATCTCATTATTACCTATATTCTCTAAAATATTTGAGCAAGTTATCAACCTACGACTTTCAGATTACTTATTGCAAAAAAATGTGATAATACAACAACAGTATGGCTTCCAAAAGAAAAAATCTACTGAAACAGCACTACTGGATATTAAAGAAAAAATACTTGACAATTTTGAACATAAAGTACTTACCATAGGGATTTTTCTCGACTTCAAAAAAGTGTTTGATTCGGTTAAGCACCATATTTTATTACGGAAACTCCTTTCATATGGAATTAGAGGAAAGGCTCTAGAATTTATAAAAAGTTATCTAAGCAATCGGCAACAGTACACCAGTCTCGGCGACACTAAACCAAACGTAGGTAATATCATTTGTGGCGTTCCACAAGGATCAATCTTAGGGCTTTTGCTATTCTTGATTCATATCAATGATCTACCTAACATACCGCTAACACCCGATGTTGTTCTCTACGCGGACGACACCAATATATTCTTCATCGGTAATTTTCTCAATCACCTTTAACAACAAGCAAACCTGTGGCTGACACATCTGTCTGGCTGGCTTAAGTGTAATAGATTAGAATTAAACACCAAAAAAACAAAATATGTTTTATTCCGCCGGCGCAATAAGGCTATCACAAGCGAGCCTACAATAATATTTGAAGGGCAGAAAATTGAACGTGTCACAGCGCATAAATTTCTTGAGATACTTTTTCAAGAAAACTTAGACTGGTCCTTACACACCAACCACGTTCGTACCAAGATTTCCAGATCCACGGGTATAATCTGCAAATTGCGACGACTCCTCCCTCTATGGTTGAAAAAACAACTATATTATTCCATTGTTCACTCACATCTCCATTATTGTCTTCTTGTATGGGGGAATACGACTAAAGCAAACACTGACGAAATTCACACCTTGCAAAAAAAATCTATACGACTAATATAAGGGGTGTCATTCAGGCATCATACCGCCCCTCTCTTTAAGGAACATAAAATACTTACGGTAACCAACGTCATGAAACAAAAATTGGCAATGCTTATTTATAAACAGGTATGAACTGATCGCTCAGGGTTTTATCAGAGGCATCTCCCGAGAGATCACAGTCACAACCTACGGCACAGGGTGTATACATATGAGAAACCACGTACAAATTACGGCACACAAAAACTATTGTATCAAATTTCGCATTTCCTGAACGAACAACCGATTGTAGCTTCTCTAATTGACAATATGGTCTCATATGACATTTTTAAAAAAAAGATACAGGAACACTTCCTATTGACACAAACGTAATCACCGTCACCATCTTTGTTTCATATTCCCTGAAGTATTTTCTTGTGTAAATCACATTAACATTTTGGTTATGTTATCCAAACTGTGTTTCATTTATCGGTCAAACATATTCATTATTGATGTTGTTGTCTTTTGATTGTTGAAACCTTGTATTCAAATTTAAAGTTTCTTCGGGTATTTTACATGTCTTACATTAGTGTTTGTTTATGTCCTCTACAGTTTGCTTCATTTGTCGGACACGCATATGCTTTATTGATTTCATGGCCTGCGCAAACTTTTCGCTCATTTATGTTTTCCTGTACATGTTTTGTATGTAGAAACTTATTTATGCTTAATTTCTTATTGACTCATTACTTTACACTGAGCACTGTGTTATTTTGGCGGGTTTTGGGTTTACAGGGGGCAGGTGCTTTGTCAGGCTTTTATGCCTTTTCGCCGGTCCCCTAGGCAAATTGTACCTTTCTTCTTTTTTTTTGCTTTTGCCTGAAATAAACTTCAACTTCATATGTACCAGGAGATATCAAATTTTACAAAATTTGGAGACAAAATAGTTGGCTAGCACGGTGAGCATATTTTATGGAGGCCTTATGACACGCAAAACAATTGGAGAGCGTGTCTGTGCATGCATGTACAGTTGGGAGACATTGAATGAAGATAAGCTTATGGCCTGCTCAATGACCATTCCAGTAGATTGGTTACCTGTCAACAACAATCTGATGCCACATGCCGTCGGCAACATATTTGTCACTCCGGATCTCTTCAATTCCATCACCGAGGTTGATAAGAAGCACAGGGTAGCCATCTCTGAGTACCAAGCTCATGAAATCGCCCTGAAAAGTACATGTGCAGATTAAAATTCCACTAAAAAGAGTCAGCCCAGCATAAAGGTATCAGGAAATAAGAAAATCAGAGAAATTTAAATGACTGAATGCAAGAACAATATTTCTAGAAAAACTTGTCACTTACTACACAAAAAAACTGACGGATAGCTGGTGCTGCAACAAATTTAACCTTCACTGGAAGACTGGTGACTAGCTGTTACTATCATAATGAGCACCATGAGAAATGGCTACTTGGAGGGAAATTGATTTTCTGTGTTCGTGTTCTCACTGTATTTTTTGAGAGGAACTAAACAAACAGCAGCAACAACAGTGTCAGTCACTAAGTTCTCAGAAGAGCTGCATCTCTTTGATTGATTGATTGATTGATTGATTGATTGATTGATTGATTGATTGATTGATTGATTGATTGATTGATTGATTGATGTGTGGGATTTAACGTCCCAAAACCACTATATGATTATGAGAGACGCCGTAGTGGAGAGCTCTGGAAATTTCGACCACCTGGGGTTCTTTAACATGCACCCAAATCTGAGCACACGGGCCTACAGCATTTCCGCCTCCATCAGAAATGCAGCTGAGTACCTTAGCCACTAGACGACCGTGACGGGGCGGCTGCATCTCTTTCACAAAAACATACCCAACATAACTAATAAAACTTAGATCTGCAAAAAAGTGTCTAGAATATGCTGACCTCATGGGAACGCTTCGCTCTTGGCTGAGAGCTCTGGCCGTTTCCAAGGTAAAAGAGTGTGCCGTCAGGCCTGTCAGTCTTGACATGCAGTGACAGGTGAGTGTACGTGGCTGCCTCTTGCAAATCTTCAGGATTTTTTAGTCGGACCCACTCGTTGCCCTTGAACTCCATGCCAATCTTTACCTGTAAGCGTACACAGGGTGGATCACATTTGGCAAGCATTCTCAAATTATGGATGGTAATCTGCCACTAACCCTCAAGAGGAAGGTATATAACAGCTGCATCTTGCCTGTACTTACCAACGAAGCAAAAAACTGAAGGCTTACAGAGAAAGTTCAGCGTAAATTGAGGACGACACAGTGAGCGATGGAAAAGAAAATTATAGGTGTAATGAAAGGTGTAACCTTGAAGGACAAGAAGAGAGTAGAGTGGGTTAGGGAATAAACTGGGGTTAAGGATATCATAGTTGAAATAAAGAAGAAAAAATGGACATGGACCGGGCACGTAGCATGTAGGCAGGACAACCGCTGATCATTAAGGGTAACTGACTACATTCCTAGAGAAGGCAAGCGGGTCAGGGGGAGACAGAAAGATAGGTGGGCCGATAAAATTTAAAAAGTTAGCAGGTATAACGTGGCAACGGAAAGCACAAACCGGGTTGATTGGCCAATCATGAGAGAGGCCTTTGTCCTGCAGTGGGCATAGTCATCATGATGATGATGATAAGATGATGATGGTGATGATGATGTACACAGAAGCAGTACAGAAAAGGGAAGGAAACACAAGCGGGAGTAGGCATTGAGGCAAAGAGCCTTTTTTGGTTGTTTTGACGGTGAAACCTGCTGAGCACATGGAGCATGGTTAGTCTTCACTGGTGTGAGTGACATGCTCAAACACTCAAAGGAAGGTAGAGGACATACATCCGTGGAGGATACATCCATGAAGGGTGTAAATCCCTTCCAATGTAACCATACTATACAAAATAAGTGCCTGATCTGTGATTTTATTTCATTTGAATTCAAGCAATGTGGCTGGGATAGCAAAAGAGCCTTGAGTGACTTGACCAAAAGGTTTGCTTTTCAGCTAAAATGACCATATGCAACTGTTGCATTGCAACCAACTTTGTTGTACACCTTCCGTTGGCTTCTTGTGTGACTAAGACATGTGACCTTAACTACAGTATTTCTTTACGTACTGCCAGCACTACTTAGCACTAGCTAGTGTTTGCTAAATGACTGCTCATGTTGTCTAATATTAGCTTTCTGCTAGTTTAACACAATACTTTGTCTTCAGTTAATCTAGGTGAAATAACTTAATTGTATACCAATCCTTTATTTTTTTTTTTTCATGATTACTTTTGCATAAGCGAAGCTCACATGCACTGACCCTGTTAGCTTCATCTTTGGCAAGGGCCACCTTGCGACGCAGTTCTTCAAGTTGCTTCTGGATGTCCATGGCATGGTCCTTCATGGCATTGTGCCGTTGCAGCAGCCGGTTCGCAAGCCGACCCAAGTCTGGCTCAGGAGCCACGACACGATCAACTGAATACAAGCAAGCATGCAGTCACCAAAAGTGCATAATCTAACCAAGCTTGAAAATCTTATGATGGCTTTGAGTGTAATGACACGAATAACTATAGCATTATTGTCCGAAAGGCTTGTTTTTTTGTATTATACAGAAATAATGGAACAGACTGGCAACTAAGCCAAGAAAAGCATAGGGGTGCATTATATGTGGTCTGTGGGGTCCACAACCACAACTTTTGAATTGAGCATCCGATGCTCTACCACTTGAGCAATGAGATAGCGCTCTTTGTCATAGCTCAAATGGTAGAGCATCAGACGTGTAATTCAAAGGTTATGGGTGCAGATCCTGCCAACGGAAATAACTCCTTTTAACTTCAGTGAGAATCATTTACAGTTAAAAAACCACAAGTAATGCCGCCTGTGCTTTTTTCACCTTAATTGTCTGTCCGTTCTGTTAACTGTGCATTGCACCTTAGCGAAACAACTTACTGGTGCAGTTGAAAGGAGCCTGTTTCTCAACTCTGCATCTGACGAGGCGAATTTCACATTCTCACACTCTGGAATTTTTTAACGAAAGCTGTACTTTGTGCTGTAAAAAATTACTTATTGAATATTAAATACTTATTTGCTTCAGCTTGCTCAACATACTCCCAACTCGCTCATCAAAATCACTTGTTGAATGGAGACTGGCAGTTAGGTTGGACTGCCCTTTGTGTAACGTGAGTAAATAAAGCTTATAATGACTGGCTGGCGTACGAGGAGAACAGCTAGAATGTTAAGATGGGCAGTTTTTAGCACTCATTCAAAATGCGCAATTATAGATTTTCAACCACACAAAATGTGGTGTGTTCAGTGCCCCTCCCCTATTCAGTCAAAGTATGGGGCAGTCTTTGCAACCCACTCCTCTATATAGTGACTGGGGGGAGGGGGGGGGGCAAAAACCCCCTTCTCCACTGCATGCACACCTGTGACTACTACTACTAAAACATTGATGGCAATAAATATTTATAATAATAGTAGTAGTAATAATAATAAACAATAATAATAAGAAGAACAACAATAATTCAGTCTTTGCATTAGTGCATCTTATCCAGAAGGAGGTGCATAAATGTAGACTCACTGTAGCTGCTGGCAGCCAGCAGTGCCTGTTGGTAGCCTACGTTGTCGCTGGAGAGTGTCTCAGCGTGGGTGTTTTCACCTGGGAGTCGCTCCAGGATGGCATCAATCTTGTCTGAGGTGCCCTGCACTTCGTCGACTGCTTCCCGCACAGCTGTCACTGAGGCTACCAGAGCTTCTTTGCTTTCAGCTGCGGAATGAAAAATGGACGAGAGAGAGCAGGACAATAAAGCACACACTTAAACCTTTACTACCGAGATTCGTGAATTGGCGACATACCGAAAAACTTCGAGCAAGCAAGTAACGAAATTCATGCTGCCTTTAATGTCGGTTGTGAAGTACTCTGGGGAATTGTAGCTTTCAGCATAAAAGATCTAGTGCCGTCTCATCGAAAGTATTTTATGCTAGAACCAATTTCTTTGTAGCTGATGGCGGAGAGGGCAAATCGCGTGCAACAGCTCTCACTTTTTTGTGTTTTTTTTTTCTCACCTGGGTGCCGTAAGTTCTATCTTCAATAAATATGTTTATTTGGTGACAAGAGGTGGCACACAACATTTTACGCAGTTCTGAAGTATGTTTTTTGTTGCAAGGTTCTCGCTTCTGTGGCATATGGAGAATTTGCGACTTACATAGAAGTATGCATCGAAGTTGCATTTTAGATAATTTTACTGCATAATCATTTAAAGGTTGCTATTAAAAGCTGGAAAATGGAAACAATATTTATTTTATTTGCCAGTTTATAACTCAGAAAATTATTCCGAATATAAGTTGTTACTGAGGAGCTCACTGACGTGCAGTTATTCGATTGACATATAGCAGCCCCAATGTTAATCCAAATGATTGCCTGCTATGAAGAAAAAGCCCTGTAACCTTAAAAGTTTCCTTTAAAACGTAAGAACTTCCTGAAACCATTTCTTTCACTGCAGCATAACAATTAAACAGCAGGGTGTAGGTGTGCTGAATGAGATTACCTGTCTGCAAATTGTCCATGTCCCGTGCCAGGTCTTGCAAGTCTTTGGCATTCATCTTGTTATGAAGTTCTATGGTTGCAAGCTTTTCAACAGCGTCTCCTACTCTTGGCTTCATCTCTAAAAACGGGGAAAAAAAAAAACAAGCATGATCTAAATGTAGACTTCACAAATTCTACATACATTTTTTAGAGACATTGTATCCACACAAGCCAACTGCATTTCATCAAGGCATTGGTGTTTAGTGCTTTGGTTTAATAGTTTTCAAGGCCCCACAGACTCTGGAAAAAAAAAACTGAAACTCGATGCACACATGCATAAAATCTACAAAACTACAAGCCTGCCATGACAACTTAGTATGTCAGGTGTCATGCTGCTGAGTTGGGCTTGTGGCTTCGATTCCCAGCCACAGTAGTCACATTTCGAAGAGGACGATAGCAAGGAACCCCTGTGTGCTTAAACTTAAATGCACATCAAAGTACACCAGGCAGACAAAATTAATCCGAGTCACCCACTATGCCATGGACTATCATCGTACGGTGGTTTTGGCACATAAAGTACCAGCAATTATTATTATTTTTTTATTAATGTTACAAGCCTAAATGTGATGAACCAGTACAACTGTTCATTTTTCATCAGGGACTCACTTTGACCTTGCACATCTTGTCATAACTAATTGTGAAACTCAGACTTAATTTTTATTACCTTAGAAGTGCACAAGCTAGAGGCATTCCCCCTCTTTCCTTGGTTTTTGCAGCCCACCACAAGCTATAAAGAGTAATCTTATGGGTTGCTAATAACACGTACCATAGTCCACATGTCGTTCAAGTTCCCTTGCGTCAGCGAGGAGACCTTCACTGTTGTCCTTAGAGTCAGATGCACGGTCGATGATACCGACAGACTGAAATGTGCATTGACAGGTCTAAGTCTTCTTGTTCATGCAACAGTGTCCCAAAGGCTCGGTGATTTGGTTTACGATGCACATTCAGATCAAAATTTGGATTATCTCTCAACAAGTGCTCCCGAGGAACATTGAGCAGTGGCACCTTCAGTTTTTTCATTTTACTTGCACCGAAACAGGGAAGCTCACCAGGTATAGCTGACTTTGTTGGTTTCCCCTGTGAGCTTCCAAGCAGCAAAGAAATATTACTGTCAGCTCAGGCCCACTGCTGCTGACCTTACTTAATGGCGAAAAAGTTCGGTTTTAACATAAACAAAAGAGAAACATTAATGGTTACAAAACGTCAAATTTTGACTTTTTCAACAAATATTTCAAGCATGTAGAAGTCATAAATTTCCATTTCGCTCATAATTATTATGGGGAATAAAGTATCAAAGGGACATAAAAAGAATAGTGTTGTCTGTCCTCTTGTACTCTACAAACATAAGTTTACTGTAAGAATGATGATAAAAACACAGTAATATACTTCAACATGCCTGAATAACAGTTACCTTAAAGTGTGAGTAGCGTAACAGTATCACATAGATGAGCAACGCATCTACTGTGAGATTTCATGTAGTGAGAGATAGCATGATGCTTGTGTAAAGAAGAATGCTTATGTATATTAGTGTCGTGACATCAGGCTTCTGTTTCATTCCTATCTTTAGCCCATGTTAGGTATTCATTCTCAGCAAGCAACATCACAGAAACATTTTGACTCATTTTGCTGCAACAATGCAGCAATAGATTAAAACAGAAATAATTTTATACTAGGTCTCTTACAAACTACAGGAGAAGAGAATGTTACCAGTGAATGAGCCTCATCAGCAGCAGCCTTGGCAGCACGTGAATAGTTGAGAGCATCGTCAACAGCTTTGACTATTTCATCATAGGCAAGTGCCGATGCAGATGTCTGCTTTGTGTCGTACAGGATGCTGCAAAAGAAAGCAAGGCCATTTATGCATCCACGATAATATCAGTGCACAAACACATCACTCACTTCTCATTCCTAATCACCAATTCGCTATGTTCATGTAAAAGAGAATGCTAACATACGTACACTCATAAAGAAAAATTGGGCGACCCTTAAGCTTTTCTTTAAAAGTTGAACTGCGATAGCGATATTTTGTTTGTAGTGCATACTTCAAACACTTAGTGTATGAAATCTTTGCGAACTTGCCATGCACCCACTACGTGGCCTTAAGGATGCAGTAGCATGTGTGCCTTTTGTAGTATGTGACTGGCTTCAAACGATGAAGTCATTATGATAATCACATGCTCTGATGCTCGATGGCAATGTATGCTTGTACCATGCATTATTATGGCAATATTTCATGTAGCATTGTGAAGCATGTATACAGAACGCATGTGTTTGTAAAGCATGAAAGCTATTTTCACTGCATTTCCAAGCAAAGGAAGTTATTTTTGCTGTATTCACAAGCAGAGGCGTGGCTCTGTGGTAGAACGCCCACTTGCTTTGCAAATCATCCTGGTTCGATCCCCATTCATACCCATTGATTGATTGATTTGTGGGGTTTAACGTCCCAAAACCACCATTTGATTATGAGAGACGCCGTAGTGGAGGGCTCCGGAAATTTTGACCACCTGGGGTTCTTTAACGTGCACCCAAATCTGAGTACATGGGCCTACAACATTTCCGCCTCCATCGGAAATGCAGCCGCCGCAGCCGGGAATCGAACCCGCGACCTGCGGGTCAGCAGCCGAGTACCTTAGCCACTAGACCACCGCGGCGGGGCGCCATTCATACCCAGATTATTTATTTTATTTGAATTTTTCCCGACTTTTTGGTCATGCAAAGATGATAATTTTTCGCTCACAACCAACGATGCGGACGCCGACGCCGGAATTTCTGCGAAACGAGCTCTTCAATGCTATCGTGTTAAAATTTGCACCGACCTAAGTAAACTTCCTTGGTAGGGAACGATGATGCAGGATTATTGCAGCACTGCCTATGTAATGACTGAGTACCAACTTATTAAAACAAAGCATACAGCATAAAGAACATGCTGTAACAGCAGTGAATTATCATAGCAAATAAAACAAAACATGACACACATGAAGAGAAAGGGGAATGCTAAGCTTCACACTGTTTACTTGATGATTTTCCATTTAATTCTTGAATACATACTGCAGGCATGAAAACGATGCACTCTACATGTGTTCTCAAACGAAAATACAATATCTTTTTAAGAGCACATGTGGGATGAATTCTGTATAGTCGCCTGTGATACGTATCAAACAATTAGATGGAAGACCATAAAGTCAACATCCTGAAGTTTAACACTCAACGTAAAGGTAACATTATAGACTGCCTAGCCTAATGTTTCGCGTGCGGGCGTGGCTTGCAGGCTTGTGAAAATAAGCCAGTGTTGGGTGGCTGATTGTGAAATATCACCCTGCTTGAACATGGTGTTCTACGTGACAAAAACTTACCTCTTGCATTCCTCAGCTTGGCGTTCAAGATCGTGCGAATGGTCAACGGCTTCACGGACAATTGGCTCAACCTCATAGGTCTGCTTCTTCACTTTGGCCAAGGTCTCTTGCAGCCCATCCACTGAATCACGTAGTCGACGCTCATTGTCACCCAGCGCCTGTAAGTACCCATCGTGTTTTACGCACTGCAGCTTTCTAATATTTCCAAATTATTGCAATGCATCTGAGTTGTATTACATTTGTTTTTATTTGTTTGCTTCCACGATATCCGAGTGCTAAAGCCAACCTAGTGGTCTTCTTCCTTGACTCTCCAGTGGAATGTTTAAGTATGCCTGTATGTTCCCAGCGATACAGTGTGTTCTCACTGTAACTGCCTTAAACTTTCTTTCCGTTGTGTTCACATTCCTGGTTTATTCGAGATACTGAGTGCCCGGGAATGTCTGAACACCCACTGTCGTCAATTACTGTCCCTTAATACCTCGATGTAAACAACAATGGTCAAACATCCTCTGAGCAAGGACACCATAAGTTGTGAAAATTCTCAAAACCGTTAGGATGCAAAAGAAAAAGTAATTATCAGTGTCTTAATTCAGTGCTCTGATATATAAATGCCCCAAGGCACTCACATCAAGAGCTTTATCCGCATCCAAGTTGAAGCCTGAGCACTGGCGCAGCAGCTCCTCGCCTTCTCTCAAGAGCTCCTGGGCCTTGGACTGCAGTTCTTCACTCTGAGCAACTAGGCCCTGCAAAGGTACACAAGTCGGCATACATTAAACGCATACTGACACAAACTTCGCGGCCGAGATCTAGTCAGCGAGATCAGTTCTCGTGAACTGCATTTATCATCTGTGAAATATCAACATCGAATATAGCTTAGAAGATATTTTAAATTAAGTTTGAAGCTTGAGCGATCGACTCCATCAGGCTATTAACACCCTCAAAGGGGACCCCCTACTTCCCTCATGTGACCACGCTGCAGCAAGTTATGACGACGTCATAGCCACCATTTTTCTTTGGTCGCATTTGCTCCAGCAGGCTAGGTATTACTCGGCAGCTACTCGTGAGTCCATGGCTGCCACACACAAGTTGAAAGTTTTGTGCATAATGACACTGCTGTCCCTTTTCCTGTTCAAAAAACTTTTTGATGAAAACTGTGCGGAAGTGCATGAATGTTTTGTGTGCTTAAATGGTTAAGCATTGCACCCGCTAGGTGGTGATACTTGCACTCGGTGGCTTTTCGTTTTTCAAACCAAAAGTGACACTGGTTGGTAATAAGGAGCCTGTATTTCATTATCTGTCACGTGCTGCAGAAAATGATGCATCGTGTTATGACTAAAAGGCTTCCAGGAACACATTGCAGCAAAAAAATTGCGAGGCCAGAATTTTTGTGTCAGTACCCTCTTATCATCCACACAACATCAAATGCACCCAGCATAGGATCATACAGGACTTATTAGTTACCCTGAATGGTGAGCTATTGGCCATGTGCAGCAGCCCCGAAGCCTTGCGCATCATGGTGTTAGCACGTGCCGTGTGGTTGGCCAACTCGTACAGGCGATCTTCTAGGTCCTGCTGCATGCTGCGCCTGAGCTCAGCCAGCGTTGCATTGTTCTGCACCACAGGCAGGGAGAACTGCTGTGCTTGCTCCAGGGCTGGGGAGAAATTACACTCGAATGAATGCACAGCACTTAGAATACATGAACGATATTAGATATATAGGTGTCATAAGGCGGATGTGAAGAGACGGCCATACAGGAAAGGATGCTGATGTTCTAGAGACATTAGAAGTACTACTGTAAATGAGTTCTGTAAAACCGACAAGGTGGCAGAAAGGTTAGCGGAGGGAAATTAAGGGGTCAGTAAACAACCCCGAGGTCGAAAAATTGTTACAAAAAGAAATATGTGCACTTTTGCTTCATGAACATGCTGTCACAAGAATTTTGCAAATACGTGCTATATTGAGGAAGTTATAGGGGTTAGAACATCGGTTTCAGCTGGTTTCAGATTTTTGTGTGGGGCCTCGCCACCATTCTTTCTCACAGAGAGGAAAACCCGTCGTCATCGCTGATTTAGACCAATCATAGAGCTGCATGCTACGTCAAGTCGACGATCGGCAACTTTGCATCACAGCACATGGAAGAAAGATTGGTCAAGCGTAGGAAAGGAGCACGAGAATTGTTTTTTGAGATGGAGGCTCTACGCGGCATGCATCACTGTAATATTCAGAAAACGTGATTGCCGCGGTCTACTCTACAAATTACTGAACTTCCTTGAAGGATGTAAAAAAAAGTCAGTGCCTGTTGACCAGTCCTGCAGGTCAGGGCATATCCCAGTCTGTACAAAATTTATCTTGAAATTTACACGTCAAAAACATGTGTGCTTTGCTCAGGCTTTGCCAGCTTAGATCATATGTTCTGGCGGTGCCCTGCGTTACGGGTTGAAAGCATTACATCGTCCAAGTTAGACGCTGAGCTACGCAGTACAGATTTAAGGATGCAGCTATGGGCAGTCCAACGAGCCCACGACGAGGCGGAGAGGTTAGGCATATCTGTCCCGATGTGGGAGTGGCCCGCTACGTGCTAGTTTGCACCTCAACGAACCTGAATAAAGTTTTTCCATACCATACCATACATGTCGACTGGCCCTTTAAGAAGCACCACTCGTAACATGAATTCACAAGGAAATCCATACAGATTTCTCAGAAAGAAAGTTTCATCACTGCCAAAAAATTTCTATATTCAGGGATTCAACTTGTGGGGGTGCTGACACCCCCCCCCTGTAAAGTTGTCTGCGCCGCGTGGCGCACGTGTCTCGCCCCAGGGCGTTATTTCGGTGGTGACCACCACCGGGCGATAGATGGCGTTGTGTTCGCTCTGAGTACCACTGTTGGTAGAGTGGCAGCGCCGGTGGTGGCCCCTGGCGGAAGGCGGGCCTTGGTGGTGGGCGAGCGTTGAGCGAGCCTCTTCTGCGCGTGGCGGCTGCCGCGAACGGTTGTCTGTAGCGCGGGTCCCCGGTGCTCGGCACCGCGGGCTTCGCGCCGGGGTCCCGCGTGGAAAGTCAGGCGTTGGCGACGCCGTCTTGGGTATGTGCTAGTGTGTTGAGTGTGTTAGTGTGTGTTTATCATGTTATTGTGTGTTTAGTGTGTCCCTGCGTTATGTTGTTTGTATGGTAGCGTGTTAGTTGAAATTGATGTATCATTCGGCGGACGATATCGTCGTCTAAATTAGTTAAATAAATGTATGTATGTTGTGGGCTTTGTTCCGACCGCGTCTGCTGTGTCCGTTGACTCCAAGAGCGTGGCGTGGCGATGCGCGCGTTCGCCGCGCCGAGACCCCACACTGGCGCCCAACGTGGGGCTCTTGGAGTGTCGGACGACAGTTTTTGCGGTTCGGTACAGGGATTTTGTTAGAGCCGGAGTAGAGTAGGCCTAGGGGGGACTTCTTTGCTAGCGTCGGTGGTGTGCTTTGTTGAGAAGCGAGGGGATTGGTTTTGTAACGTGTTTCAATTTGTCGGCAGGTTGACTTTCTATTTTTTTTTGCTCGCAAGTGTTCTTATCTTTTTGTTGTTAGTTTTCAAAAACGTTGTTGAATTAGGACGAGAGCCATGCGGTCCGCATCCTGGGGTGAGCAAGGCCTAGAGCACGTGGTTTGTAGGCCAGGCCCGAAGCGAGTGAGTACGGATGCCTCGTGGGTGGTCCGATTTTCTGTAAATAGCTTCTTCTATATCTTTGGGCTCAGGGAGCCGGGCGTCGTTGCTGACTTGTATTGCGGCTCGACGCCGGGGCGTCGTGACACCGCCCGGGGCGGTGGACGCCGATCGCTCGGTAAGCTGCTGTGTGCGGCGAGCGATAGGGCCACCTCACAGAGTGGACGTCTCCTCGCGGCTGCCTCTTCTGCGCCTAGGCTGGGTGCTGGGTGGATGCCGGTTGTTGCCGAGCGACTCATTAGGCCTAAGGCTCTGCGCAGCCGCCTGTCGCACGTGGCACAACTAGGTGGATCGTAGCGTTGAGGTGTTGCGCTCTGCTTCCCTCACTTTTTTTCTTGTGAGCACGAGTTAGGAAAAGTGATTTTTGTTTTTATTTTGATGGGCGTCTCGGCCGCCACCGATGTATTAGCTAGCAGTACTAATCACCGTACCACGTGGCCGAAAAGCCTGAAGCTCCCTCCCCATGGCCGCGCTCCTTTGTTTCTTTCGAGTTTTGTTTTTTTGTTGATGTATTCAGCAAGCGGGATGTCATCCACGGCCGGCTGTCCTGCATATCGTCAGCGTCACTGGCCAGGAATGCGGTCGTGAGTTCGGGCGATGAAGATGCTTGGGACCTGCGCAACTGCCTGCAGTCCGGCGCCCTCGTGAGTGCTGGTCGCAACTGGAAGACGTGTCGGCGCTAGCGACGGATCGTCGCGCCGACGGCAACGTTGCTGTTGCGGGGCCGGTACTGAGGTGAAGTCTAGCCGGAGAGTGCAGCAGTGTCGACCAGCGGCGGTGTCGTGGTGCAAGGACATTATGGTCGTGCGATATCATTTTTTTGTTAAAGCTTGTGTAGCTAATTTCTGATTTCGGGATATGGTTTGATTTAAGGTTGGGGGAATGTGGGGGTGCTGACACCCCCCCCCTGTAAAGTTGTCTGCGCCGCGTGGCGCACGTGTCTCGCCCCAGGGCGTTATTTCGGTGGTGACCACCACCGGGCGATAGATGGCGTTGTGTTCGCTCTGAGTACCACTGTTGGTAGAGTGGCAGCGCCGGTGGTGGCCCCTGGCGGAAGGCGGGCCTTGGTGGTGGGCGAGCGTTGAGCGAGCCTCTTCTGCGCGTGGCGGCTGCCGCGAACGGTTGTCTGTAGCGCGGGTCCCCGGTGCTCGGCACCGCGGGCTTCGCGCCGGGGTCCCGCGTGGAAAGTCAGGCGTTGGCGACGCCGTCTTGGGTATGTGCTAGTGTGTTGAGTGTGTTAGTGTGTGTTTATCATGTTATTGTGTGTTTAGTGTGTCCCTGCGTTATGTTGTTTGTATGGTAGCGTGTTAGTTGAAATTGATGTATCATTCGGCGGACGATATCGTCGTCTAAATTAGTTAAATAAATGTATGTATGTTGTGGGCTTTGTTCCGACCGCGTCTGCTGTGTCCGTTGACTCCAAGAGCGTGGCGTGGCGATGCGCGCGTTCGCCGCGCCGAGACCCCACAAACTCGAGACCAACGACCAATGCGATTCGCAGAGCAACCACCTTGGAAAGGTGTTAGCCCCAAGCTACATACCCAGACCACAACAAACTTCTCAGCAACTACGAAGCTTTTTTTCTGAGAAATCCGTATGGGTTTCCTTGCAGCCTTGCACCAAAAACAGGGTGGGTATGGTACATCAATGTATAATTTGCATATGCTTTGGGCCTATGAACTCATTGACTGTATCATGAAGAGTCCAAACAAAAGACACATTCACAAAAAAACGGTCACCTGACGTACAAATAGCCTTTATCACAACTGCAGCATCAGCTTCTGTCTCAAAAAATCAAATACAGTGAAACACAGATGTAGAGCTTTGTAGGAGTGTTTCGTGTATACATTTTATCGAAGCTGCAGTCGTAAGAGTGAATGTGCTCTTACCCTGCATTTCTTTAATGGTCTTGTTGACATCTGCTTCCTCTTGTAAAGCAGCCATCTTAGTAGCAAATGCAGCATTGTCGTTTGTCCTGGCAGAAGAGAGGATCACCGACATCTAATAGAAACAGAAAAGTTTTAATTTACTCAAAGCTATACCAGTAAAGGACTACAGCAAAAGAGTTTTGTGAAAATCTTCATGATGGAACAGGCTTCAGCAGAGGCCCTCAGCAGCTACAAAGCTGCAAACACACAAAACCTATACAGGTTTGTATAAAGAAACGCTTCACAAGTGAGAAAAGATTCCCAACTAGTATTTTTATGGGCTAGTTAGGCTGTCATGAGTAAGAGGCCACAGGCATGTGCCAGGCGCTGGAATGCAGCGCACGTGTGCGAGACCCTGATTATGGGCAGATGTGCCACGTTCACGTACGAGATTGGTTGGGAAAAGTCTCGTGGCACGTGACTCGAGCTGCGATGGGAAATCCAGGAGGATGAGCTGGCACTGTGCTGTGGAGCTTCGAACTGCGAAGGTCAGGAAGATCAGCGTCACTACCGGTTAGAACCGGAAGCAGTAGCTGCCCGGTTCTAAGGCTGTTTGCGAAGAGGCTTGGGGAGGGGCCGTCGATCTCGGAAGACTCGAGTGAGGCTGCCTGAACTTGCCGCAACCTTGCCCAGCAGTTCCTGGGGGGACTACAGCTCTTCCACTTCGAGCAAGAATGAATGTGGCCCACACCAGTCATCAGAATGCGTCATCAATGAGGCCATGGATGAGTTGGGTTTGACTAAGTGAGTTGAAGATGATGAGTAAGACCGGGACACCGGCAATGAAGAGGAGCAGCTCGTTCAGCGATGTCTTCCAGGATGACTTCGACGATAGTACCACTTCGTCATAGTTTTCAGTAGTGACATCGAAACAGTAAGAATGTTCTACTACTGCGGAAGCACATGAGAGTAACCATTGAGACGTCATCTTGGCTAGGAAGAGGTTAAGGCTTAGGACGGATCTTGACTTAGATCAGTGTTCATATTACGGTATCGATGTGTAGCCGAATTATTGTGTACGTACATATTTCTATTTGGGAGTGAATTCTGAATTCCAGATTACTGTTTGCAATTTCATTAATATCAAAATGGGTTTGCCATGTTACCCGCTGATTCATGTCTCTTCTTTGCAAGCACTCCCGAGATATAAAATTTTGACACAGGCTAGGTGGTTGCACAGAAAGGCTGAACCGATTGACTATGACTGTAACAATTTCTGTAGCTTTAAAGTAGCTTATGGCTTTTGTTTGCAGCTCTTTCATTGTATTCATTTATGAGATTTAGCAGCATTTAAATTGGCATGTTAAGTTAGTAAAGTGAGAAAATATGATGTTTAGGGCATGTCAATAAAGGGAGTGTCGTAAAAGTAACTTCTCAAATGTTTACCATGCAAAAAAGTGTTCAGCCTCATTAGTATATTTCTACATTACTAATGAACAGTACGAAAAAATAGTTCTGGAAATATTTGATGCTATGCAAAAGATACAATTCATATTTAAAAAATTCTGTTCACTCACACTCTTGCGTACTCCATTGCCAAAGACTTCCAAATCGGAGACGTTCTGTCCCAAGGGACTGGCATCTTCTGCCTCACGTTCCAATAGGAATGTCTCAAATTGAAGCTGCGATAAAGGCAACAAAATTGACAAACTGTTCAAGTAATACAGGCTCTAACAGACATCCTGTTTTATGTCACATGCTGTAACAAGCAATTTACTGCCTAAATGAAGATGAGCTTGGAAGCATGATGTAAGCCGTAGAAAATTATTAGCCATAGAAATTATTATCCATAGATGTAAGCCATAGAAACTGATAAAGTGCTAGCATCTTCTGAGCCATGAAATGATCTTCCTTACAGTGCGGAGCTTTCAATAACGTTTGTGGATGCCTCGATCCACCCATACTGTGTTATCTTCACAAGCACCAAGTCTGTACTATTTAACAGCAAGTTTTATTGCAACAGGAAAAGGGAAATACAAAGATTTTGCATCAGCATTAGATGCTCCACACTTTGCATGTGCACAGCATAAAGGCAGCCGGAGCTCTTACGTACCATACCGTATATCCATTTTCGGAATATGGCGCTCAGTGTTAATGCACGCAAGTGGTTCCGTACAAAGGCAAGAGGGTGGTGCCTGTCAAAGTGACAGCCATCCTCTTCAGATCAATAGAGTTGTCGGGTTGCACCATTAGGCTAATTAACCCCCTATTAATTATCGTACTTTATTTAGATACGAGTAATAATGCTTTACCTTCTGCATACTACAGATAAAATTTACAGTGGTGTTTCCAGGATAAGCTCTCGATTAGCAGGGCAGAAGGCTGAACGAGAGAGTTGGCTACAGCCATGTTGAAATGGCACACTATTTGCATCATAGAGTTTTTTTTTGTTCACTCAATTCAAAGAGTATGGCCTCAAGTAAGCTAAGGTCTGCCATGCTTTTAGGAGCAAAACAGTTTGAAATAAAGTCATATGAATTTTGATTGTCAGAATATCAAGTGTTTTTTCATCTAGATGGCACTGTGTGTGATTGCCTTAGCATTTGACTCCCTTCTGCAATACTAAATGATTAGTTTGTGCCACTCAGAGCATGCCCTCTTAGCATTAGCACTGAGATGCATGCCTAATGCAAATGCGAACAGTTTGACACTATATACGCTAAAACTCTATTTTCATACATAAATAGGAAGAGGCTGACTATACTCGCTTAAAGTAATAAATAACTAATGAATAACTGAATCACACAATGAAACTGATCAAAGCTAGGCTTGTGTGAATAGTGAATTTTAGATTCAAGTGAATAGTGATTTTAATCGAATAATTTCGAATCGAATTCGAATAGTATATATGACGTACAAAGAAAATTGGGCATATTTATCATGACCTAACTAACCAGTGCAATATTTTTTTGATATTGAAGTAAGGCCTCTATGCAAATGCCTTTTTTTTTTTTTCGTTCAAAGGAAGTCGAAACAACTTTGGGCAGTAGCAGGATTTGACTTTCGGTAGAATGCGAGTCAAAGCCTGCAGAATATGTAAAATTTTAAAATTTATTATACTTAGAGCATACAAGCCATTATAACAGGCTTTTAAGCTTAATAAAATGATGAATTGATTTGAGGGAAATATGTGCATTTAAAGGGGCCCGGCAACATTTTTTCAAATAGCCATGGAATGGATTCACTAAAGTCGATTGCCCCAAAAATTTACCGCCATAAAAATTTTTAGAATCAATTCAGTACAAGCGGAGCTGCAAAGATTTCTCGCATGCTGTAATGTAATTCTGTTCTTGTCCTGACGAAGGTTCTGGAAGCCACCAAGCAGGGAGGTATGGCAGGACGAAAGAAAATACATCACTTTCACCTCGTGACCTTGAGCACCTATTAGGGGCGAAGCTCCTTAAAGTGGCACCCGTTGGTCTCTCGTAGTAGTGCGTAACATGTCTTACACTTTTACCTGCAAGGTGGTGCCGGTGAGAGATTTCTCCTGTGCGTTGTGAACAATAAAAAATTCGCAATAAAAATTCGCGTGCGCATTGACTAAAAGCCGATTCTCCTGTCTCTCATTCCCCATCAGCAGCCATTGGCATGTAGATTAAGCACCATCTGACAAGAAAGGGTTGCTGCGTTATACTCGCTGGGCATAACCTCCTTGGTTTCAGGAAGGTTTAGTGAGCGTTGCGCCGCAGTGCCATGAATACAGTGAACTAGTATATACCATGAACTCGAGGTGGTTAAAGGTGGGAAGTAGACATGAAACGCACGCCATAAAAAAGTGTGCGTGTGCCACCTCTCGTTTAGTCCTTGGAATGTCCGCTGGATGGACGTGCTTCTATATGCGGAATATATGATGAAAAGATGCGAGATGGTGGTACTTGGAGTGTTGATTAGATGGACGAACGGACACACAGACAGATGCATGGACAGACGCACGGATGGCTGCATGGACGAACGCACGGATGGATGCACGGATGGACGTGCAGATGCACAAACAGATGCACACACGGCCGGGCGGATGGATGCACGGACGGTCACACAGTTGGACGCATGGACGGACGGAAGCAAGAACGAATATACGGACGGATGCTTTGCCCCATTCTCCATCATTCACCCCGTGAATATGCTGCCATTTCTTTTTTGTCGAATACACAACTTTTCAGTGTAATCACGCGCACATCCCTATTGGAAAAATTGCCATGGTGGATACTAGAAAACATGGTGGGCGTAGTAGAAATAATAGTGGGCATGGTGGAAATTATGATGGCTATGGTAAGACATAGTGGAAAATATGGTGGTTATGCCGGGACTTACTGGGTGGTATGGTGTACAGATGATGGGTAAAGTGGAAATGATGGTGGAAAGCAGAGGCTAGATAGTGGGCAATAATGGGACACTCTGCCCACCATTGCAATAATGCTGGGAAGCCCTAAGCATATGATGGGTGGTGCTTATTATGGTGGGCTACATGGTGTACCAAGCTGAGAAACTCTTCCCACCATTGCGATAATGCTGGCAAGCACTAAGCAGATGATGGGTGCTGCTTGTTATGGTGGGCCACATGGTGTACCAAGCTGAGAAGCTCTGCCCACCATCGCGATAATGCTGGGAAGCAGTAAGCAGATGATGGGTGGGCTTATAATAGCGGGCAATATATATAGTGTACCAAGCTGGGATCTGTACACTACATGTTCTACCACCATGATTTCCACCAAAGGTTAGGCTTACTGACCGAGCCCGTACAATTGTGTTATCTGTGCTTCCGGGTTTCAGAATACACGATTACGACGATTAAGTATGACAATACAGCGCAGCCATATGGCATCAATTAACCTAAATGAAGCATTTTTCATTGTGTATGGTGTCCGCTCAAGAAGCAACAAACATCGATGCGACGCGATTAAAGCACTCCCAGAGAACGTAATTAAGTGTCTTCTCACCGATAGCCGCGAGTCGCACTCGCCGGCACTTCTCTAGCTTTTGTACGAGAACTCAGACGTGGCAATTCGTGTGTTTGGTGAACCATTATGATAGCGTAATGTTTCCGGCACACTGCATTCGTTTTGGCCAAGGCGTTATGTAGTTGTTGCTTTAGCGAAAGAGCTACAGCATTGCGCTGGCGCGACCGCCCTCTACATTGCGCGAAAAGCATACCAATACTCAAATAAATTAGGCGGGCGTATCTATGAAATGAGCCTAGAAGCGTCATAAAGCGTGAGCAGATGTCGCCCTTTCGAACGAGCGCGAAACGGATATTAAACTTGGCAGACCCCGCCGGTAAACTGTTGCTGCTCCCCAGTCCACTTGGTTTTTTTTTTCCTTGAAGTTGTGAATTGTAAAAAAAATAGCACTAGTGCCATTAACATAGTGGTAATCGTTACAGGTCGCAGTTGCTTGTGTTTAATAAATGTGCAATTTTTAGTAGCAGATGTAGATCTTGTCTATGTTGTGTACACGACAAACATCACTTAAGTTTAACCTCGAGTTTGTATGCCAACTAAGTATTTGACACGCAATTGCCGTCATGTTGGTGTGGCACAGTGGTTAACGTCTTCGAATGGGAATCCGCAGGTTGCACGTTCGATCCTCCGTGGCGGCTAGGTTTTTTTTTTTTTTTTTTTTTTTACGGGACAGGTGTTTTTTTTACCGTTTTTATAGAATTCTTTTTTATTTTTCGTGGCAGCTCGTCACGGTGATTCTGATGTAATTTCGCGCTCAAGTGTTGCCAGCGCTGCAGCACCCACCATACCCACCATGCGCCATGGTGGGCGTTTCCCACCATTCACCCACTACATTAATCCACTATAATGGTGGGTGGTGGTTTCCACCATGCCCACCATTCGTTTTTTTCCGATAGGGATGCGTGAACAAGTCACAGCCTCCCGCGACGGCCCCGGTGACGACCGAGCGTGCCATGCTCAAATCAGCCAATGGCTGATGCAATGGCTATGACGAGTGATTTTAGAGCTTGTGGTGTCATTTGTCAAGAGAAGAGAGCAATCTTCAGTGGGCTTTGCAAATTTATTGTGGATTGCAGGACGCATGCTGCGATATAATATTTGGCTCGCGTGTCCTCAGTAGCCCTGACTAGCGATCGGGAGCGTTTCCTGACCATACTCAAAAAACGTTGCAGGGCCCCTTAAATTTGAAGGAAGGCTTTGACGCAAAGCGAATTTTTCTTGGATGAATACTTTCACAGTTTAGCATTTAAACACTACAGTGAAACTATCTTTACAAACCGTTACATGCGGATTAATATACACTTTTCATTCATTGCGAAGACTTCGAAATTTTCAATAATTTAAATTCGGATCGAAGTGAATTAGAATACTCTACTATTCATTCGAATATTCAAAGCATTCGAATATTCACATAAGCCTAATCAAAGCAATTGACAACACTCTACGTACTGCCAGTTGTGCGGTACATACCTTGAGGTCATGGCCAGTCTGGTTGACAACCTGCAGTCGTTGATTGGCTAGGTACGTTGCTGACAAATCTTTCACCTCCAACTGGATGCCACCAATGAGATCAGCCAACTGGTCTGTGTCATCTAGTAGGGCGTGCACACACTCGCCACATTCTGCAGATGGAATGCAAAATGAGGCAGGGGTTGCGGTTCCACTGTTGCCATATTGCCAGTAACACTGAACAAGATGCACGGAGAACACAAGGCATGGTGCCTAAGTGCCGGCCGACAAGAAGTATGCATCAGTTGGTAGCCAAGCAGGAACTCCTTTATTATATACACAAGCATCACTATATATACATATGGGGCCATATACGGCCATATATATACATATGGGGCCATATACATATACAGTTGGCTGACCCTAGGGGTCAGCCAACCGACTCCAAAGTCGGAACCGAAACCACGACTCTACAAAAATGACACCAGGCGCCGCTAATAAGTCAGGAATAGAAGGACAAAGATTTGGAGGTCAAACTCCCAAACTTGTGCTGGCCCGTCACACCGGATTATGAGGTGGGAAGAGGGCTGTCACGGTTCGGAGAAATGAGGCATTCAGCAGGGGCTTTTTTTTCTTCTTCTTCAACACCTCTATCTTTGCCTCTAAATGCCATGCTCACTTGTTCTCACCCCCTGCTGCGCAGTGCTTTTTAGCGCGAGAAACAATGGCTGCTGCAAACCGCTCAAGTTTACTTTTTGTTTGCAGGCTGTCGACCAGTTCTGCCTCACTGGCCAGCTGACCTCCGTGACAGTGAGTGCCGGATTTCGCGGCTGGCTGACAACCTTTCTCGCGGAAGTTGCATCACAATCGAACCATGAGACATCCTTCGGTGTACATGTGTGAATAATCTCCCGCTGTAGCTTACTTCTGTCTCATTCAATGATGGCCATCTTTCAGTTGTGATAATGTTGAGAACACAGCATTCATCATAACGAAATCACCTTTCCTTTTTATCTATTTGTGGGTAGTTTCTCAAGTTAGCAGCCACTCATTCTTATCACTCTATACCATACCACCAATGATAACTGTCTCTCAAAGAAGACACCTCAACTGAAACACACACGGGAAAGGGGATGAAAAGGTAACAGAGCGGTGTAAAGACGCAAAGGGGGGGCACTGCCCTACCCCTCTTGTGCCACCTAAACTTGTGCGGATGCGCCAAACTAGTTGAGGAGGAAGGCGCGAAAAGTGTCAGCGATCCGGTCAAATGAAGCGCTGAGCGGAAGCTTTTTTTTTTCTTTCAACGACAAACCTCCGTCTCTCTCTCTGCATCTCTAGAAACTGTCGCTCACTTGTCCTATGCTACCTTTGCTGAGAATTCCTTTTGACACTGCAAACCACTCACGTAGGCTGCCTGGTCAGCTACCCTTGATGAGAAATAGTGCCGGAGTGCAAGGATTAGTGATGAGCTGTAGTGCGGATGTTGCATCACGAGCGAACCATGAGACGTTACATCTTTCCGTGCATATCTGTAAATGATCCCCTCTGTCCCTGTCTTTTGCTCTTACTTGATTTACTGATGGCCACTATTCAGCCATAGTCTGAGCTAGGCAGCAGGTCATAATATCAAACTGTGGATTTCTTTTTCTCTATTTCCTACCACCTTCTATCCCATAACACACCCTGGCACAAGCGATCTATCCACTAAAGATTCATTTCTCTCAAGAAAGAATTGAGGCCAATGACATGTAAGTAGAATGCTATATTTATGAAGTTATCACCAGGTATTGTCATACGTCATGCTACTCTCTCTCTCGCTCTCTCTTTTTTTTTTTATCGTTGTGACATCTCAGCCGCTGTCAAAACATTGACCTTTGTGGACTTTTGTGATATCCTGTAGAAAACCGTGATGCCATTCCTGCAGCCCTAGCTGGAAACATGGTTCAATCGTAACCCTCTGGCTTACAACACGGGATGTAAGCGAAACAGCAAGTTATCCTTCCCCTATGCAGGAAGCGCACCAAGTGGCCTTGTCTAACAAGCCCTCTCCTCTCCCAAAGTCATTATACTCGAAACACCGTCTCGTTGTTCTGTAGGAGAAGGCAAATGATGTTTGACTAAATGAGCTGTTCCTTCACCATGTAACATAAGCTTCCGAATGTTTAAAAGACTCTCAGTTTGTCAAATTATGGCTGTCTGAATTTGGTGTATCCAGCCACTTGCAGCCTAATCTAAGAAGTTTAGAGCACAGCAAGTGCAGTTGACTGGGATGAGTTAACCTCGCGAGACGCACTTTTGCCACACCGTAATTCGACTGACCCCCATTTGATTGGCGCTAAAGTTGTGTATATTTGTCGAGGTGTTTGGTCTGTAACAATGACAGAAAGGAACTCAGCAAGTACAAAACAGTTTTCGTGTTATTCCTTTATGTGTGCCTCATATTGTATTTATCCTGTTTATTGCTATGCATAATTTGCACGTGACGTCACAGACATGTTCTCTGCACTGGGTACATGAAGATGGCGCGCCCCATGACTTTTTATTGCATTTGAGAGCGCCAGTGCCCGTTCCCTGCTGGCATCCTTTTGTGCTATCCCCGCTTCCTTCTGTTCACCAGCCACGCCAAGGGAAAACACAAAGAAATTAGAAGGGGCACTGACAGTAGTCTGATATCACCGCTTCTTCCTCAGCATGGTCGTGCTAGAGTTCACGCAGCATCTCAGCTAGCTAGTACCTGAAGAGGCTGACCAAAGTGACGTCAATGCAAGTTATGTGATTCATACCAACAGGTCCAGCCAACCACATTTCTAGTCGGCGTTTCGGCTTTCTTTTGTCTTTCGTTGATCACCCCTCGCTTATTCATAGTAGCGCCCAAGTGGAGCCACAAACAAACACCCACAAGGGACATGCCAGAGATACAACTTTCTTTTCACCTGACGACCTTCACCCCAACCTTTCAGAAGACAGAAAACCTGTTTTCCACTATTCCCCTGAAGGGAGGCAAGAAGAAAACACAGATTCAAGGAGCAAGCGATGAAGGCCTGGTTGTGTGGGGACTTAGGGTGGGGGGGGGGGGGTGCATGGTTTTAAGTTAGAAAAGACATTCCCTCCTGAGGTAAAGCATTTTCACATGCCACCCTCCGGAAAACGGGGAGTTTTTTTATGCACTGCTTTCCTTTTGTCTGTCTAGATGGTGCCAGAGGAAGATTTTCAATGTAGTGGTAAAATTAAGTTTTTCAGTGGACATGCACTATTCGTGTATGATTCATGTGTAATTATATCAGGAGACTAGTAAGTGATAGTAAGCTATCCATGCTGAAATTTCGACACAGTTTGAAGATTGCTGCTGTTTAGGGCAGCAATCTGCTGCATTTGGGGCATAATAAATTAAGACAATTTACGAGCTTTGTTTCGCATTTCTGCTAGCTTTATTGTAAAATGCTACATTAAGAAAATGGATCAGGGCCTCTAGTTCATCTATGTTCAAATTCAGTCACAGAACTTCAGTAGCTTGCCACGAAAATGGGCAGAGGTAGCTCCATGCATTGAGAAAATTGCCCAACTTAGATCACTATAAATAAAAAACCAGAAAGTGTAAATCAATAAAATTAAACTCAACTCTAAGATAGGAAATGAACCTCCTCTAGTGAGTAGTTAGCGGCCAGTCTGCAGCTAAAGTTACTAAGTTTGGCTGTTTTCAAAAGATGACCAACAATAAATTAGAAGTCCTACATAAGTTTACTACATTGAGCAAATAGATAAACATGTCCTGAATGTGCTGTGCAAAAAACAGTGCTGTAACTGTAGCAGATTTTCAAAAAATGGTCACAGCTGAGGCACAGTCAGCCCAAATCGTGTAACTTGTGCTTATTGTTGCCTGCCCACCTCCAAATAGTAATTGACTTAATTTATTAGACATTTTTGAAATGTGCGAAAATCAAGCTTTCCAATGATATATAAGTCAACTATACAAAACAAGGAGAACAGCCACTGCGTCAGTTGAAAAAGTGGCAAAAACGGTGTGTATTAAGCCGCCGGAGTCAGACCGTCGCCTTAATGATATAATTCTTTCAAACAGCACAGATGCTTATAGAATGAGTAAGTAAGCCATTGGCACTCAAATGTTTGAAAGGATACATCAGCAGTACCCCATCCTAGTTTCTGCTGACATAAAATTTATGAGACACTATCAGTACAACAACTAGAATGAAAGGGCCTAAATCCTGTCTCATAATGTTAGGCAAAAAGCAAATAGAATATGATTGAAAATAGGGTTATTGGTATGCATAAGATATCTAAACAAAACAAGATGCTTTTTAGGCATATGTTACTGGTTAGGCTTGTACACTTCATTTATAGTAAAATCAACTGATCACATATTACCAATTACCCCATTTAAGAATACAATTGACTACAACGCCCAATCACGGCCCCAAGAAATTCACCTGAGCAGTTGTTTAATTTGTAATGGATTACTCTTACATCACCTCCCTTTCAGTCCAATATAAGCATAGTAGATTACCATGAATAGAATGAGCTCGTGTGTCTCTTTCAGTGCATCAAACTGACCATTCATAAAATCGCGCTATCATGTGTAAAAGAAGTCCCCATTCAGCTCCTGGCCTCGTCTGACGTCCTCGTGCTCACTCCATCAGTGCATATAATCCTCGTTAAACAGATTCAGAAGCAACAAAGCAATTTGGACGTGAGCCATGGTTGTTTCCATCATTATTGCTTGTGATTTGAAATTGAACTGTTCTTTGCGTTAGAACTTTTGAAAACGTTCAAGAATGTTGTGATACATAGAAGCGTGGCTTGCACCAAATGTTGACACAGTTTAGCAACAGAGAAAGATAAGTACATGTGTCAATATGAACTCAAAACGGAGTGACACCTGTTGGTGAACAAGAAAAAAATCTGATTCTCGTTGACTGTAACGCACTCACCATTGCACCCCTGCCGCTCAACAAAGACCCACCGATGTGGGCAGCTGTCGCATTTCTCCCCGATTACTCCGGGCAAGCACTGGCACTGACCCGTCTGCTGGTTGCAGACAGCGCCAGCCGAGAACTTGGCAGCACAGTTGCAAGCTGGAAGATGTGCAAGAAAAAAAGCGCACGTTATCAGCAAACCAAACAAATAGTAGAGCTGGAATGTATGAAATGAACTGCAAGTGGGGTGAACCAGTGGCACTATACGGCTTGTAATAGGTGCTGAGTCACCTACCAAAAGAAACTAGACCTCAATTAAGGCCCAATTTTTCTCACAACTTTAGTTGTCAACAGACAGTTGTCGGCAGGAGATTTTGTACCAAAATGAGTGCTGACGACTATATACACACCATCAATAAAAATTGGCTTTACATTGAAACAATAGTGACTACATTAATGATAGTCACGTTTCTTGATGTTAGATTGCGACAATTCTTTATGTTTGGCCGTTTGTGTCTCGGCCCTCATTTCATAGACATCTTTTATCATTTTATTGCCATGCTGTGAAGCCATCTTCCAGTTATCCTTACTTACACAATTAGAGAAATAAGAAAACCCTACTGAATAAAAGAATGGCACCATTTTATTTAGATAAATAAAATCTCTACAAATAGAGCAGAAAAAAATATGTGTAGATAAATTTGGTCAATTTTTTTTTCAACGATAGAGAAAGGGTTAACATCACAACAGAGCTGGGTAGCACAGCTTGGTGGCACAAAAACAGCAAGACTACAGGCTCAAGCTTAGTTTTCCACAATGTATAACTCTGCGAAAAGGGACAGAAACATGAAAGGTGAGAAAAGGACAGACAAGCACATGTCCTGTATGAGAAGTATTGTGGTTGTGAGTACCTGTGACAGGTTTGATGCACATGAGAAGTTAGCCACTTATGATACAGCATGAGAAGTTCACATCAACATGACCAATTAATTTACATATACAGTGTTTATGCATAAAATCTATAATGTTAAATAAAATGAAGAAGTCAGGCAGAAACCACATTTTTCTTTTTTACTCAACATGCCTTATATGTCAAGCTTTGTTCAGTTCTGTTAGATATTAACGAATGCTTCAAATACAAGATAATGTTGCTTCATACCTCCTGTGTTTTTTTTTTCATTTGTTTTGTTCAGTGATACAAAATATACCTGTATGTTGCATAGATTCCTAACATTCTCTTCCAATATCATGGAAGAATAATTTGAATAAATAATTAGCCACCACCCACAAATCTGGAACATTTGGTCACCAGCTCTTCCAGCCTTCAGCTGCAATAAAGTGTCCCACTACGTCTTTTCTACAGATGCTCCTTGTTGTACCTCCATTACTCCGTTAGGCACCGTTACTCCGTTAGCTCCATTAGACACCAGCACTCTTTCATGACTGATTTACAATTTCCTAGTAACATTGCTCTGCACATTGACATAGGCATGCAGAAGGGTGAGAGAAACTATCACCCTAGTCACCTAATAAGGGGGAGGGGGACCCAAAATCTTCCCTATGCATTTACTTCGTATGGAAGTAAGCTGCAATTGACCTTTGCCCCCCCCCCCTCCCCCCATTGAGAAACCTTACACACGTCTATGCGTACTGAGGCATTATTATGCTCAATGAAGAACTAATAATGCTGTGGCTAATTAAAAACTAAAGCTGTAAATGTACGAAATAGTGGCCAATGGGCATTCAAACACTCACAGATGCAACCACTGGGAGAGTAGCGCCAATATCCTGGCTCGCAGGTTTCACAGCGGAGACCTCCAGCACCAGGCTGGCAAGAGCACTGGCCTGTTTCCAAGTCACACTGCTTCGACTGGGAAGCCAAGCCACAGTCACAGGAACGGCAGCCCTGGCAGCTGCTGAAGCCCCAGTGATTTGGCTGCACCATGATCCAGTGACACAATAAATACCACTATATCTCTGCACGATGTGCTGGTAGCATCGCTGCAACAGCATATATTTCCTTCAAGAACGTCCTTTTGAAAAATCTGCAGGGATTTTCTTGGAGACTTGTGCAAAAGATGGGTGCGTGGAAATTTTTCCTATTAAAACTTTCGCTCATACAACACACGTCGCTGAAACCACAGATAACTTTTGCACAATCTCTTGACATGTGAGCTCATAGTGAAGGTATTACAACCCAAAGGTCATGTGGTCTTAGGGTGTCACGATGGGGATGTGTGGCCACTTTCAGCTTTTTCAAATAATTGCCAGCAAATGTGAGAGGCTAAACCACATCTGTGCTATTGCCGCTCATACCTTTAATGCAAGTTACAGAAGAACAGTGCTTACCGAACACTTTCTCATTATGATCATGACCTGTGAGCCTCCATATAGAGTTGTGAATTAATTGGCACGTGTTTCAGGAACAGAAGTTCGTGGCACCCAAAGTTTACATACCCTATTTTCTCACATATAACCCGCACTAAAAGACAGAAAAAATATGCTCAAAAACTAAGTGTGCGGGTTACATGCAGGCAATAAATGCACGTTTTTTTCGTTTTTTTTTTTGCCAAGGGGGCAGGTTATATGCGAGATAATACAGTATTTTCTATACTGGTTTGTAAGTGACACAGCAGACAGTTTACCACGTTCTCGTAAATGTCACAACGTAATGAGATCGGCATGCTGAAGCGATTAACTTGATAACGGTGCAAAAACGTGGCATTTCGGCATGCACATGGATGATGGGACAAGTTGTGTCAAGCATGCAAGATGCAACATAAGCACTCACAGCACACTGGTCGCAGTATTCTCCAATCACATTGTCGTGACAGTTGCAAGTTCCTGCAGCTGCATCGCAAGAGTGCATTCCACACGTGTCGCACGAGCACTCTGCAGAAGCAAAAGGAAAAAGAAAAACTACGTAAGTATGTACGTCCTGCAGTAAAGCGAAGCTTATTTCCAGCACTTTCCTCAAACTGTGACTCTGCACTAATAACAAAAATACACAAAAGGAGTTCCACAAAGTGCAACCAGAAGCAACCAGAGTTATTCAAACATACGAGTTACGAAACTCCCCACAGGCTCCATGTATCAAAATTCGAACTTGCCACTGAACCAGATGAAAGGAGTGTGAAACGCATTATTTTGTGTTTTGCATTGCCACTCCCAGACATTCTGCTGATTCCCACAGGATCGGTCAATGGCATGTCTGAGTTATGGATAGCAGTTCCACAACTGGTATGATTGAATCACTCTGGAGTCAACATCATGGGACAATGAGCAAGTTTTCTACATCGTTATATTTGCTTCACTTTTTCACTTTTCAAGAAGTTTAAGGATATTTCTGGAAATAATCCAATGCCACTCACTTCGGCAATTCTTTCCCATGATGGCATCACCATAGAAGCCAGGTGCACAAAGTTCACAAGCTGGGCCAGAAGTGTTGTTCAGGCAAAGCACACATTCGCCAGTAACTGTGTCACAGGATGCGGGGTTTTCAGGGTCAATGTTGCCACTGCACTGGCATGGCTCACAGCTGCTGCCTATCGTATCTGGCATACCGAAGTAGCCAGCATCACACCTGCGTACAACCATTCATAAGTAATTATGCTAAATGGAGTTAGACAACGTTGCAAACCAGCTGGTCCAACAATATTGACCTGTGTATACTTACACATCGCATCGAGCCCCAAAGTATCCTTTTTTGCAGTTGCAGCTGATCTCTTGACCACTTGGAGAGACCTCACAGCTTTCGGCAAAGCTGCAATTACAAAGAAGAAGGTAATGTAGGTGCTAGAACAGAAAAAATTATTTGCAAAATGATACAATGTAGACAGAACATTACTATATATGCAGCCAGTGAAATCATGTCTTGATCCACTTAAATTATGATTCAAAGTCTTATAAGAATTTCTTCAATAAAATAAAGGCATTAAGGTCTTCGGTTACTTCGTAAGACTGAGCTGGAATCTCTCTCGAAAGCTTTATCAATTGCCAATACAAGCTGAACACTGTACTGCAACTGCAAATTAGGTTGGTTATCAGTTCCCAGGCTGTGACTGAGCTTCTCAACATGTTGAACAACACACTTGTTTGATGGGGTTGGAATCGGGCAGGCACATATGAGACAGTCATTAGAGTGGCCTCTGGTGGCATCACCGTGGTAACCAGGCAAGCATTTCTCGCAATGGTCGCCGTAGGTGTTGTCTCGACAGTTCTGAAAAATTAGGAAAAAAAGTTTTTGGTTAGGACAATCAGAATCCACCAAGACTACAAAGCACCTCTTAGGCAGTGTAGTTTTCTGAGTAATGGTCACCAAATTTTTTAGAGCGTTACATACAACTATGGAGATGTGAGAGAAGCCACTCACATAGCATTTTCCAGTGACAACATCACAAGTGTCACCGTGGTTGTTGCACTGGCAAGGAACACAGAAGCCCAGGTAAGGTGCTGTCCTTGTTCTTGAGCGGTAGTACCCAGGTGCACATTCCTGAAATTCATAATGCAAAAGCATTTTGAACATGAGACAATTTGTAAGTGGCAATCGCATACTAAAAGTAAAAACATGCACATTGTGACCACAAATAATGGCATGTATGTACTGCGGGTTCTGAAAGTCGTGAGCGCCACCATGCTCTTGGAGTGAACGGGTACAGCAGACGCAGTCGGACCAAACCAAACAACACATATTTATTTAACTAATTTTTGATCGATGATATTGTCAGCTGAATTGTTATACATCAATCGTGATCAACTCGCTAGGACATCCTTACACAATATTACTCAGCACGTAACAACATTACAAACACAAGAGCACACAAAAGGCGCTGTCGCCATCGCTTGACTCACAATGCGGGCCCCCGGCAGACGGCCTGCGGTGCCATGCACCGGAGAAAACACCGCGAGAGGCAACCGTTCGCTCCAAACGCCACACGCAGAAAGAGACTCACTCAACTCTCTCTGCCACCATGAAGGTTTGCCTGCTGCCACGAGTCACAACCAGCACTACTGCTCTAGCAACCATGATGATGACAGTGGTGGTCAACTCTCTTGAACACAACGCCACCTACCGCGTGACAGTTGCGACCCCTGAATGCGGCTTCTGCTTAAGACACGTGTGCCACAAGACGCAAACACCTTTACAAGAAGTGTCAGCACCCCCACAGTATTATTAACAGCAAAAGTTTGTGGGGCATTGGATCCATAACAAATGCAAATTTACACTATATCAGTGCTCAATGCTTGTAATCAAGCAGGTGACTGTATAGGTCAGAATTCCAAGCACTGTATGGAACATTTATTTTAAGATTACATTCTCAGACAAAGCGGGAATTTAGCATTACCAAACACTTCATGCTCTGCAAACTTTTGCTGTTGATAGAACATTTATAGCACCACAATTCATTTATTTGCTTTTTATTTTCGTACTGAATTATATGAAGTTTATAAAGGGAAAAAAAGGGAAGAATGAATAAAACAGATCAGATGCAAAAGATTCGCAAACAGTATTAGTTTTAACCTCTAACCTTAACAAAAGCGGCACGGAGCAACCAACCGCAAAAAGGATCACTAGTTTTCTGTTTTGTTTTTTTTTGCAAAGCCCTTAAAATCTAATAATAATGTTTCACTATGTTTAAAAAAATGTATGATAAGACTTTATGCTTTAGAAATATTTGATATAGGATCACAGTATCTCATTTGATGAGAAATTATAATGTTGAAAGCTTCAGACTCTCCTGAAGCTTTCAGGTCTTTCTGAACTTAACAAAATCTTTATGACCTAGATACAAAGGATATGCACAGGAAAGCAACTCAGAATTCACTTTCTCTGTTATGTTTTACAAATGTGATTAAAATCACCTAAGTGGCTTTAAGAAAAAGACTTGTCTTTGTCTTTATCAGGGCTGCCCAGATGAAGACAAGTTCACTTCTCAAAATGTTAGCTTCAGTGATATTCCCTCTTCAATGATTTTGTTATCATTTTAAGTCACTATCTTGCCCTGTACATCAGCCTTTCTTAAAAAAAAAAAGAGAGAGGGTGCTGATGAAAATGGCACATTTTGAGTAAATAATGTGGATCCAACTTTGAGCTAAGGCTCCCACTTGAGGGGAGAACCTGCGTCAGATACAAAATTTTAGATTTTTAGTTAATTTTATGAAACTTTCACAGCTTATGTATTTATAAGTTCTGATTTCAAATGTGCAACTATTTTTTCCAGTACAATATGCTGTATTTGAAATATTAGGTAGTTCATGTATATTTTTAATGGCAAGCCATGTTTCTAAACAGTGACATAAGGTGAATCAGCATATTACCTGGAATGAATACTGTATGAAGTAGAACAATAATCGATGTTCTAGGCCCATTTGAACAAAAGTTATGATGTAGTGAATATTCCCAGCTTGATCCTAGTTTGACCAAGCTTGAAAATTCTCACTTTAAAATGTTCAGTGTATCATGAATTTTGTTCAAATGTGCCGAGAACATCCATTCTTGTTCTACTTCATACAGTATACTGTATTCCAGGTTATTGTGATATGCTAATTTACCTGATAACTCTCGCAATCATGTAATAAAGGTTGCTCCTGACAATACAAAGCTATTCAATAGTTTCAAAACTTATACAGTATTAGAACAATAGTTGCATGTCCAAAATCAGCACATGAAAATACAGAAGTTTTGAAAGTTTCACATCCCCAAAAACCAACTTTCTTTTTCAGAAGCAGGGTTTTCTCTTAACGGCTAAATATCTTGAGAATAATAGCTCAGGAAACGTCCAAGTAAGAAATTAACAAGAACAAACCTCGCAAGAGGTTCCCTTGTAATTAGGTGGGCAATGGCACTGCTCCACAGTCAATGCCTGGGCAGCGTCAGCAAGATACGTCGAGAGCGCCGTGTCCAGAGCTACATTGCTCAACCTGAAATGATTTTCAGACAAAAGGCATATGTCCCCAAACACCACAATTTCATCATTCTGATCGCCCACAGCGATAGTACTAAACAAAGTTTCCGAATGATACGCTCGAGGTAAATCTGACGCTAATGTTGATGGGAGCTACAACTTATGGTGCTTCAGTCACCGTAGGATTTATGGGTAGTGCACGGATTTTCTAAGCTTTGTTCTTTTGACTCCGAATGCATCCGTGTGGTCTGTAGCCGCTTTTTTGCAAGACGAAGTTCAACAAACATTAAGCAATTACTCTCCCCCACTTTGACTTTTCAGACTCACTGATTCGAATCTGGTCACAAAATTGACAACGATCCAATCTTTTATCCGAAAGAAATACTAAAATAAATAAATAAACAATGCCACAAGTGCACTTGAAGCAACAAGCATGAAGATCAGTTAAATTCACGGACTACCCATCATTCTCGTGGTGGCCGAACGATCGCATCGCCAGAGTTTCCTCTTGTGAATATTGTAGAAACTTTATGATAGTAAAGACTATTATTACTAACATCTGTTCATCTTCAGGCTGCACAATGGAGGCTGAAGAGGTAGGAATTTACATTCACCAGGCAAACATAAGTTATTTAAGTTACCCTATTTACCCAAGTCTAACGTGCATCTTTTTTTGGGGGGAAAAATAGACCTTAAAATTGCATGCACCTTACAGACATTTAAAGTGCTCCATAGCTGTATTTTTGCTTTCTAGTCATGTAAGTCAGGTGCGCATTGAAATAGGGGCAGATTGAAATTAGGTAAATATGGTACCTCTCGTCCAATGTAAATTACTCTAGCTCGCATACCTGACTTGCAGCGATGGCTGAATGTAGGAAGCCCGGATGTACAGGCCGTCGATGTTGACCAATGTTGTCATGAGCTGTTCTCTAGTAACCTTGCGCCCACCAAGCTGACGGAACTCACCCTGGTAGGAAAAGATAGCGAAGTTAATGCAAGAATGAAACTCTTAAATCTATACAAAACAATGTGCCCAGCACAGTTTTTCATAAGGTAGTCACAACTTGACTCCTTTGTTACCACGCCTACTCGAAATTATCATCGGTGATCGATGCTTTGAATCATCGATTTTGGCATCTTGAATTTGTTTCGCGTGCTCCCAGCACTTTCTAGTAGTCCAGCCACTCAACTTTCAGAATCAATTTGAATATGCCTAATTTGGCAACATGGTGATTTTTGACAGACTTTTGCACAAACCAATGTGTGTGTGTTGCTGAGAAAATGCACTTGGCTGGTGAACTTGACAGAAGTGCGTGACCCCCGTGATTATGCTGCAGTAACATCAAAGTTATGTAATCAAAAGAATCTTTGCAAGTCAAATATCAAATTAAGGTGTCAGCATCGCAGTCTGACAGTAATGCAGTAATAATTGCCAGAAATTTATGCCAACTATTCAATAGAGAGGTGTTGCTAGGAGTAAGGAAAAATTTATTCTACAAAAATATTGCCGAAGGTTCCCCGCGTGCATAAAGTGTGGAGGTGGCCTTCTGAGACAGTTTCAAGCGGCTTTGATTTCGCTTGTGTTAGTATCAGACACAGGAACCGCATCTAGTGTCACTTGTCGCTGCTGTTGCCATGTGCACCGTCGTCACGTGCACATGGGTATGCACCTTCACTGCAGAAAACACGTGCCTCTGGAAACTGTCTTGCAATCGAACTTGAAGTGAATGAGGACGAGCTTAGAGTCTGATGATGAGAGCACCTAAGCTTCTAGATTTATGGCGACAATGTCTTGCGTCAGCTTGAGACATCCAGTAGTCGTTCATGGGTTTGTTTTGTCTACGGCCTCAAGTTGTCTCCTCCACCACAAGACCATGGCTGCAGACCTTTGTGCACAATCATATAGCAACTCTAGTTACATGCAAGGTCCCCACTGTCACTGGGGTGCGGTGTGCTGGCGCCGGCTGCAGAGCTGACCCTCACAACGAGAAGGCCACCTGAGCACATCTTGACCCTCACTACGGAGCAGCACGAAACGTTTCATAGCTGTGCTCGATATTGTTTATTTTTAATACGATGTATAAATGTACAACAAATTATGCTTTGATGCATATACCTAGGTATTGAAACGCCAACCTATGTGGAGCGAGGTGGCTCATGGAAAGAGGCGAAGCACACAAAATAACTAAGTTCATAGGACATATCATTTATATAGAGATCATTCACACCAGGGACATCCATATATATTGAAAAAGCTGGGGACTTTACTGACAAGTACACTTGTGTCTCACGAAAAACCATGCAATGCTTCCCCACATGACACGAGCAATGAAGCAGCACCTTGGTTCTGATTTTCTTTATTTATGTGAAAAAAAACATTCTGTACAACATACATTATTTTTTATACTATTTCTGGGTCATTTATCTACAAAATGTATATTATAATTTTTTTTGAATATTTTTGCATATATAGGGTTTTTTTATTGCAATGCTTACGAGCTGGCAACCGAAAATTCCACACTTCTCGCATTTTTATTCATTCTAAAATATTTTTGTTGCTCTACAGACTATAGATATTTTTTACGAGCAGTTTCATCGTGCAAAGTTTGGTATACTGCAATGCGTGCTGGAGTTTTTCAAACTGGCAAAAATGATCTTCCCGAGACGTATGAAAAATAACCATTTTCGTGCGGTAATGAAAGAGATAATAAGATGCACAAAAATGCAAAGAAATGTGCTTGGATGCATCGATTGGAACGCCAACCTATACAGAGTGAGATGACTCATGGAAAAAGGTGATGCTAGACGAAATAGCAAAATTCATTGGACATCTAATTTAGAGAGGGGTAATTCACATAATGGGCATCCTTCTATAGTGGAACACCTGCAGGCTCTTGTTGCAAGAAAAGAAAAATTCACTGAGAAAAGTGCACGAGTTCCCTTGTATTTCATGAAAGAAAAAAACAATCAATGCTTCACTGCATGGCATGAGTTATGAATCGGCACTTAAGTTCTGATTTTTCTTTGTGTATGTGAATAGAAACATCTTGTACTAAATTCATAATTTCTATACTTCTCCTGGGTTATTGATCTTCAAAATGTATCTTTTGAATTTTCTGTGTTTTGAATATTTTCGCATACATAGTGTTTTTAATTGCATTGTTTACCAGATAGCAACCTAAAATTTCACACTTTTCATACTTTTATTCATTCCAAAATATTTTTGTTGCTCGACAATGCATATTGTTGGACAGAGAATTTCATTGTGAAAATTTTGGTATGCTGCAATGCATGCTGGAATACTTTTCAGACTGGCAAAAACTATTTTCCCAACACATATACAAAATAACCATTTTCGTGTGGTAATGAAAGAGTAGAGTTGAAGGGGTACTGGCACAAAAACTTTTCAATTCCCATTTTTTTTTTTTGCATCAAATAAAAGTCCAAGCCCTCAAGAGCCTGAAAAATATACTGCTAGTGGTGAGTAAACCATGAAAAAATAAATACAGTACGTTTCTCAAAGCTAGTTCTGGTTCCTAATGTACGGTGACGTCACAAGATTTCTTGTCATGCACTCGCTGCAATTTATTGTGACATTTCTACAGCCTTTTCGCACTATGGCTTTACTTGTGATGCATTTTTACCGTTTTGGTGCCTAAAGTCATTAGAACTAGACAGGCTGCTGCATGAAGTCACCAGAATTAGTACTGTAGCCTAATGTCAAGCTAGTTTCGACTTTGGTAGCTATGCCACAAGAAAACTAACAATAAAATCAAAATAAAAAAATGCCAGGCCTGCGCGGAAGGCGCAGCAGTCACAGCGAAAGCTAGAAGAGTGGCCTTTCAGAGCTTTTTCTAAACACTCATTGGGTAACTGCTGCAAGCACTCTTGCTTGATGCCCACTATGGCATTAATATTAAAGATTTTAAGGTAGTAAGCCGGCACTCACTATGCTATTTTTCGTCATTCTTCTGAGAAGCGTGGTATCCGCTGAACTATTGCGAGGAATTTTGTACCAATTGTTCATGCAGTGACTGACCATGATGAGGAATCGTGTCTGAAGTGGGTATGAGCCACAGATAACACCTGAACAAAAACAACCTTCTTTTATGGATTCAAGCGTTCGAGGACCCACGGGTTACGCTATTTGCATTGTGCGATGGCTGGTTGCTTTTCAACTCTTTTATTAAATTGCTTTATAAGTCGTATAATTGCGATTGCTTTCCCGACATCAAGTCTATCGCAGGCATGTTTGCCAACAGTCTCAAACGCCGGCATGTCTCAGTGGTAGAATACTGGGCTTGCACCCAGCAGGCCTGTGTTCGAGCCCCACTTTGTTCTTGGTGCTAGGTTTTTCTTGGTACTAGGTTTTTCTAATTTCGCGCAATCGCGAGATTGATGCTTTGAATCATCGATTTTGGCATCTTGAATTTGTTTCGCCTGCACCCAGGTCGAGCTATTTTCAGGGCCATGCTACTAATACAAACCAACTTTTTGATACCTAACCTTCACACTTGCTCAAAGCATCTCTGTATACACATGATTTGTATGGCAGAGAAAACCCATCTTAAAGAAATGGTGTCGGCACCTCTTTAATGCTATTTATACACATCACACAGTCTGAGACGCACGTCGAGCTATTTTTAGGGCATGCTACTAATACAAACCAACTTTTTAATACGTGCCAGCTTTTTGTCACTGCATGATAGGGGTCAAAAATTTTATCAACAATGCGTGGTAGACATCCCCACGCTCTGTCATGTCACGTGCTTTTCTCAAGTGATTCAAACAGCATTGACGACACACAAGGCAACAACGTGCTCGTGCATACTGGTAAGGGATTGAGTAGCGACAATGAACAGACATAGGTACTTGAGTTCACTCTGCATTTCGGTGAGGGGAGTGCATCTTTTATTTTGCACCTCACACTATAACCCTTAAAATTCCCAAATGTGCATTAAATTGTAATAATAATTTATTTTTATTTTTTGTGAGTGTGTAAACTACCCTTCACATTATATTCATAGCCACATTTTTTTTCTCATGATGTAAAAATGGTAATCAGATGTAAATGTACAAGGGATTCTAAACACCACATCCTACCAGTGTTGCTTTATGTTTCGCAGCTATTACATTGACAAAACACAGGCTTCTGAAGCAAGATAGCATGCTAGATCTTGCCGAAGTGAATGTATCTCTTAAAATGACTGAACAAGAGAGTACAGGCCCACTTTACTACAAATTCAGTTCCACAAAAGCCAACAAGGGTGCCATTATGGGCTTGTTGGTGCATCCTAAATTGTACTGATGTTAACTACCAAAAAGTAGCGGTACTATTCTTCTGCTACTTTATCTTTCGCTCTTGCTTGATTCTGCACTATGCTACAAGCCGTTCTGAAGGATAGGGTGTACAAGCACAAACACAAGAAAAAAGTCGAGACACCGCAAACACCAGCTAACAACGTAGGGCAAACAGGTCGATATGTTAATCAGAAATCAATGGAGTTCAAAATATTGCTTGTCTACTAGAGGCTCACCATCTAATCCTTTACATTGTCGAGAGTGTAAGTGCAGACCGAAGTTCAATGAATACACAATTACGTACCGGTACAGAAACAAAGAAATGCACTTAGATAATAATGACAGAGCATGTGTGAGCCAATCATCGATTAACCTGAACAAAGAAGACGTCGAGCGTCTGGATAGTTATCTCCCATGTAGACCACCATGCACGCCAGATTGATAGGCTCGCCTTTTGCATGGGCATGCGCTAAGTTTTCGTGCCTTCTTTTTCTTTTCTGCCATATGTGTGCCTCTTTGATTGTTAGTAGGCATCTTGACTCCCTCCTTGCACACTCTTGCTCTTAAGAATGAATGCTCATCAATTAGCTCAGCTCTCTGTATTTCTCAGTTACAAGCCGGCCCTCAAAAACCACTTTTTGAACAAGCCACAGTTTTTGCATTTATTTCAAAAAGAAAAAGATGTGCCATCTGATAATAGCAATGAACAGTTTACCTCAACCAACTTGATGCTGAAGTCCAATGGAACACCAGCCGCAGGTTGCTCCCCATGCTCGTGCACCAGAGTGAGGTTGTTGCCCTGTAAGGCAATGCCGGTGTTAAAAAAGGCAAGACTTAAGCTACAGCTTCGAGGAAGGAGAAGTCAAAATGAAAAGGTATTACCGTAATAATAACGTCCGGGCCAATAATACTGCCAAAGTCGACATCATAATCCACAGAGACTGAAAGACTGAAGGACAGCGTTCCCCCATAGGACGTAACCTGAAAGGGACATCAGAGAAGTTGCAACCTACAGTGTGTTTAAGATACATCCACTAGTACAATGTTCAAATCCCTACAGTGAAAATACATCTGACTATCTTGACAAGACAAACGAAAAAATGCCTGTGTCTACAAAGTACCCTTTGATTATGCCTATGAGTGACTTTTAAAATATATCTGTGGACCCTCTTCGTAGCACCCTCTTTATGCGCTCTGCACATTTCTTATAGATAGATCCCTGATGTACTACTCATCTACTTAAAAACCCAAAGCTGGGTAGGAAGGAAAAGATGGAAAATTCGTAAATGAGGGTTGTGTTGCTTGAGCTGACGTTTTGTCAAGTGGACCTGTCTTCTTCAAGGCTAAAACTCGTTCTAGCCTTGAAGAAGACAAGTCCACCTGTCGAAATGTGAGCTCAAACACACAACCCCACTTTATGAATATATTTACCCAATTAAAGGAGCAAAGCAAGGAACATGTAGGAGTTAAAACTCTGCAATTAGTGGCAGCCAGAAAAACTCTCCTTCCCATGGAGCAACTATCATGCCAGCAGCTTCTGGTGGCTAACAGCAAAATAGCTACAAAACCTTTCTTAGGGCTACTTGGTTCGTGACTTTTCAAGAAAAAAATTTTTGTGCAACACAACGCAAGGACGGACAAGCCCCAGCTCAATGTTTCTGGTCTGTCCTTTTGCTGCTTTGTGCTACAAAATTTTTTTTTTCTTCGAATAGCCACAATTTTGGTTAACAAGGAAACCATGTGTGGCTCCTCTTCAGCCATGTGCCGCAGCAAGATCAGGCCCTCGTTTGCGTTCGTTCTTTCGGTATACGCCTCAGTCAGAGCACAATGTTTCTGTGACGTCACCCACACACACCCATGCCGATGGAAGTTTCAACTCCTGAATATTCTTGCTCTCTTTTCATAACACACTTAGCACACTTAAAGGGACCCTGCAATGCTTTTTGAGCATGATCAGAAAACAATGCTGATCGGTAGTTGATGATCGCAAGAACATGTGAGCCAAACATTTATACTGTGTTATGCAACCTAGAATTTACAGCCAATTCTCAAAGGCAGCTAGAGTTCACTCCTTAATTTCTATACAGAGGATTCCATACACGCAAATACGCCGCCATAATACCAAAGTTCACAGCCATTGGCTAATTTGAGCATCATTAGCTGCATAATTACTATGGCTACTGCGGGAGGCCACCACGTGCCAGTGCATACGCTTGCGATCACGCTGGAAATAAAGTGTGCATTTGAAGACAAAAAAGTGAGAGAGAGACAAAAGTGTTCAAGGTCATCTCACACATTGACAAAGGAAAACAGCTTCCTGTTCCATTATCACACCTCCTTGCGTATCTTTCAGTGCCTTCACTGGTACGAAAGGAAAGAGAAAGTGCCTGAAGAGCGGGGCTGATCCCTGTAACTCTGCTTGTACTTGACGGTTTTTAAACATTTTTCGTGGCACATGATTCATGAAGCATCATGCTCTAATAGTGAGACTGTACCATTGTAACTCAGACAATCATTGCAGGTCCCCTTTTAAAAATTAGGCTATATATAGTGTCCGAATATTTCGAGAACATAGCCTCACTTTACACGACTTTTGCAGAGGAATTAATTTTACATTTTGTAACCTTGTGCATCACTCTTTCATCAAATTTGTAAATTGAAAAATTGTTTGAAGAGACAAGTTGGAGACGCCATTGTATTAAATGGCACACATGCCTTGTTTCCTAGGTATGGTGACGGAGCCACAAAATAGAGCAAGGATCCCACGGGAAGGTCTGCAGGTGGAGTCACCTCCACGGTGCTGGGTGAAGATGACATGGGTGCTTCCAGCTCCTCACGCATCAAGTCATTAAGCACGCCGAGGCCGACAGATGTCCAGCCATCCATTTCCACAATCTGCAAACAATTTCCGCATGCTTAGGCTAACACGGTGGCTGCAGAATAGACTTCACCTTTCCTCATAGTTTTCGTGGGCGCAGAATAAGTGATAGATGTAATGACAAAATGTGGTATAAAGCAATACAGCATAGCGCTTGCTTCATAGCCGATTCGCTTCTGCCAACTTCTATGTATATTACTAAAACATACAACTAATTATGGTAAATTTACTACTAACTTTCCAGCCACACTACTTTGCAGCTCATTACCATGTCACATATTCAATTATTATGAATTTAAAGTGAGCAGTTAGTATGGACTGAGCATTTAACATTTTTCACATTATTTATCATTCATTTAACAGTATTGTATTTACATGCTTATTTACAGTTATTTGCATTCTACAATTAATATAGAGCAATATGAGTCATTAATGACTCATAACCATAAATGTTTAGTGGCAGGAAAAGTCTGTCCAAAAAGAGCTATATTTTAGTCACGGTACAAAACTAAAAAAATGTAACATACTATAAGACTATTACATATTTAAAATCAGCATAAAAATTTATGTAAACAGACTACAGAATATAGAAAGTTTTTTTTTTTTTTTTTCAAATAGTATCTCCTCTTAAACAGTATCTTGTTTGTTTACATTTGACTACTTTGTATTCACTTTTATTGCTCATTTCTCAGGGAAGGGCCCCTGAACGGTCTGTTGACTATAGGACCTCCTCCTGCATCAGTATGATTTCCAATTGTAATACTGGTATTACGCACAATAAAAGAACTGTGAACTCTAAAGACCTCACTTGACAGCTGCACCTTTTACATAACTCCCACCGCTTCCATGGCTTTTCATGAATATCCTTTTATGAAAGAGTTATTGAATAATAAACATTTTTTGCCTGTTCTAAAACTTTCGGTAGTGCTTCTGGCTATTCACCGACTGCCGTGTTGATGATTAGCATTCTCAGCTTTTTTTTTTTCTTTTTTCCCCATAACATTAAGCATCCTCGTAAGAACCAGTTTGTAGAATGCATGAAGAATGTTGTGTATAACATTTCTATGACGTGCAGTCATCTGCTCGTGGGGCAGATTGGGAAATGCTGCAACATGAGACTAAGCTTCCACTGGTCCAGCCTAAAACATTGTCCTAATACGCATTTGGCTATGCACTGTCAGGGATGTAGATGCACTCCTCTTCCTAGCAGGCGCTGGCATTTTCTTCAAACATCAAAATCAAAGAGGGAGAGAAATTGTGGAAGCCCTTTGAAATGAGCCACCCTTCCATTGCTTTGTTAAAAATATTTCACTCCTGTCATCACATATTTAATCATGTTTTTTCTAACTTGTTTGCTAGATGTGCATTTGACGTAGTGTTTTGTTGCTGTGGACGTTCTGATCCGAGGCGTCGTGATCATAAGTGATTGTTATATGCGTGAGTGATGTGTTCTTTGATGAGATCGTGCAGATCATGTTAGTTAGTTGTGCATATGTTTTTTTTTTTTTTTCAAAAATACGTCAGTTGTTAGATTGTGCTTGTCTGTGTGTGCTCTTTCTTTCATCCTTTTTTGTGACTTCAAAGTGGCTAACAGATAAATTCGTTCCAACCAAGCTTGCTAGCAGTTTGCTTCAGCATTTCCGTCCAGTTTTTGCACTGCTAATGCCATTGAAGGTGGCGAAAACTGCAATGCTACATGCGTGCCTTAACGAGTCTTCGAGACCCACCTGGCTGCGGAAAAGCAAGGCACTGTTGCAGCGGTCTGTAGTGCCAAAACAGAAGCACTTGGTGCAGCCCACAGGGTTGCTCTCTTCTAGGAAAAATGTTCCCGGTTTGCAGGTGTCGCAGGAATCGCCCTCGACATTTTCCTGGAATTCAATGAAAAAAGCTCTGACATGCACTTTTGTGCCTCCCCATGTTTCTAACACCATCTAGTCAGTGGACAACAAATGGCAACCAGGGTCATAGTGAAGTGAATTTTGCAGAATTTGATATTCTACATAGAATTTTACTGGAAGATAACTTTCATAAATTATAATTACAACATCATTGTAACCCTGAAAAACGTACATGCTCTCTTTAAAACAAAGCCCACCAGAAGACCCTCTGACAACACTGAGAAAGCTACACAAGAAAAGTTGTGTATCGTGCAAGTTTTCAAATTATGTACCTTGCAAGCAGGGCCTGGTCTCAAAATGCATTGTCCTTTCAACACGTTTAGCCCAAGTGCTGCTTAACATGTACCACATAACAAAAGATACCAAGGAAATGTCTAGAAACACGTCATGACAGCTCAGCAAAACAATCCATGTGTTGATGAATCTATGGCTGTAAGAGTCCTCAGTGAAAATGTTTTGGCACTGAAAATAGCACCTTGCAAAAGCACTCGGCAGTGTCCTGGTTGCAGATCTCTTCCCCTGTTCCACGGAGGTCACAGTTGCAGAGGCGACAGCGGGGGAAGTCCCAGAAGCCAAACTTGCACTCATCACATGTGCGGCCCACAATGCTGTTCTTGCACCTGAAGAACGCCGAAAGTGTCACGTGTGCACAAAACAAAAACTCTGTGCAATTTTAGAAATATTCTTCAACACCAACACAGAAATGCTTGTGCCCTAGGTCTTAAGACATTCTAGCAACAGTAGACATGATAACCGGCCTCAGTGTAACAAAACTATCGGGCAAGTTCATTTATTTATCAAAAAACTATGTATAAGGATGGATTCATTACTCATAAAAACAAGTTATCGTTCAACAAACTGGATGAACTGTGACTTTTTCTAACTTCAGTAGGTTAGAGTTATCCCATGTTTTTAAAAAAAAGTTAAGCATCAGTCAATATGAAAGCAAATGCATTTTTTCTTTACAGCAAGCAAGTTCACCTCAATAAAATTGTTCCTCTTTAGTTACCAAATTTACTCGAATTTAGCACTTTTTTTAGATCTCTACTACTCGAACTCGATACTCGTGCAATGATCAAATATCGAAAATTCAGTTGCCTAAAAAGTGCAAATATGCACACAATTCTCGAAGTGTTTTTCCCTCACGAAGTCACCTTTTGCATACAGTTGTGGCCTTATTACGATCAAGTAAGTACAGTATCTATTATTTCCAATAGTTTAAGTGAATTTCTGCAAACTTTCAAAATCTTGTAAACTTGTGTATTGACTAATGGTGGTGGGATATAGCCTTTAAACAAGCACTAATCAAGGATTCTGATATTGAAGAGATGAGGATAATAAATGGTGTGGTATGAAGAACTTTATTAAGGTCCTTAGGATCGGTCCAGGACTAATGCTGGCTGCTCCCATGTCGGGACAGAGAGGCCAAGCCCCTCTGCTGCCGCACGGGCCTTCTGGACAGCCCTGAGTTGGTCCGCCAGCGCGTCACTGTGCGGCATTTGCTGCCACCAATGTTCACCGTGAGATGCCGCACCGGCCAATGCCGAGCAGCGCTACAGCATGTGTTCGAAATCGAGCAAGCCCCCACACTTACTACAATAGATGGAAACCCCGCAGTCCGGAATAATTTTATCCCAGTCTTCAATGTGTACACTCACTTGCATTGCCCAGTCTGCAGGTCACATTGAAGGTTGCCTCCTTGGACTCCATGTGGGTTGCAGTTACATTCCTGTACAATGGCAAATCAACTTCTCATGTTAAAATTGCACACTGAAATTAAATTTTAGTGTTTAAGTAGTAAATCAATATTTACACTGAGTAAACCACCACAAGCTTTACAAATGTACAACACTATTTGTGAGCACTGCAACAGATTATGCCTTGCCATATATTAAAGCTAGATTTTATCACGTCAGACAGTCAGCAGTTGTAACACAAACAAACAATTGTGACATGTCCCACACAATAAGAGCTTTTTAATTGTTTATTTGCACATTAAATGCTTCATGAATACACAAGCTCATTAAATTGAGCAGCTTGCCACATGTACAGGGTCATTGAATCGTAAAGCACACACTTTATTAGACAGTTATAGTGTACCGGAGGCTTACAGGTATACCGGGCGTACCGTGATAGTGAGATCGAAGTGCCTGTGCGCAGATACATACATTACCCGTACCGCTTACCGTACACATGCTACTTTTCAGATTTAACGTTACCGTGGTAGCGTAGGTGTACATAGTGTACGTACAACATGGCGGCGCTCTCGGATGTTCACTTCGAAGTAATTTTAGCGTAGTTATTGAAAGATTCACTTTGTTCGCAGCAAACGACTTCTCTAAGTGGCTTTGCTTGCCTTTAGTTAGCTTCAATGACCAAGTATTACGGATAAGTTGGTGTAGTTCTTGAGATCGCTTCCCATTTCGAATGCGTCTGGGCCAATCTACAAGATCAATGTAAACAAATCGGCGACATAAATGTTTTCGTGCTTGGTCCAAGGTTTATATTTCTTTACTTTTATTATTGCTAAAATAAACTTGTAACAATGCTTCCTACGCTGGCATAGGCAAACATTCACGTTTCCTTTTTCTTTTCACTGTTATTTAACTTATTAACCATCCGATAGGTGGCGCCACTGTCCCAACTGGGGCACGTAAATCACGTAAATGCTATCCCGTTAAACTATAACACGCTGTTTACAACGAACGTTTGCTACACGGTAACGCCATTCCTTTCGCCATCGCGCTAACGGTAAACTATTACTGTCTATTATATGCTCAAACAACCTTCACCATAAAATTGCTGCCTTCAAATTACCCAGGCAATAATGGATCTGTGTAAAGCATTGCATTACCCATACCTTGTCGACAAAGCACAAGAAAAGTGAGGCAGACAAACAATGACTGCAAGGGGCCGCACCTCACATCCCACAATGCGAGTGTAGCCGAAGGTGAGAGGCACACAGGTGTCACACTTTTCACCAGTGACACGAGGAGGGCAGATGCACTGGCCGGTGACTGGGTGACACACGGCAGTGTTGGGACAGTCACATGGTTGGCAAGCAGGGAAGCCATAGTAGCCCGTGCGGCACTGGGAGCAGGTGCGGCCAATCACGTTGTCCTTGCACTGGCACTGGCCTCCAAAACGTTCGCACTCAAACGACAATGAGCCATCAATGTTGCACTGGCACGGAAGTGCCCCATTGTTGTATTCAGCAGTGATCGAAAACACTGCCTCCTTGCAAAAGTCTGGGAAAAGAAAGAATGTACTTGAACTGAGAAAACAGCTCCTGCATGTCTTCTTTAAGCCTTTGACACGCCACGTACACTATTCTGTACAACACTTGTTTTTCCTATTTGTATCAACTAAGAGCTAAGAAAATCAAGATATATTGCAGTTTGGAAGCATTGAACCCCTTGCATAATGAATTTGTTCTCTTTTAACTTCATTTTGCATTGTATTGTTGCATATGATCACTTTGCTGAAGAAACTACCACGTTTGACGAGTTCGACATGCAGCTTCTTGCAGACCATAAGAAGAGAAGTTTTTTTTTTGCCCAAAATGGAAATAACCAAAAACGAACTTGCACTACATTTCTAACCTGAGACCTCATTCTATTCATTGCAGAATAAATAGACATTCAATTACAACTTAATTAGGATTATGAATGAATGAATGAACAGATTTTATTTCTAGAGAGATACAGAAAAACGAAGCGAAGCTAAAGGCCATTCGGCCTGACGTGGCATTGCTTATATTATAACACTTATAAATTAACATATTATGACATTATTTTAGTAGCAATAGACTATTGAGCCCTCTGTAATAGCATTGCATTTATTTGACACATTTACAGACAGTTATTCACAGGTGGCGTCTGAGAGAGCTAATTACAATGCCTGAGAATTATATGATGAGAAAGTTTAAGAATGGGAATAGAAATGAATGCTGATCACAAGACAAGAAAACTGTGCCAGAAATCCCCGCACCCCTCCCCCCCCCCAAAAGAACACATTTCTAGTGTCACAAACAGCATGCAAAGACAAAATGCTGAAAAAAACACGGAGGATCAGTGTTGGCATTCTTAATAGCACTGGTTTAGTGCGTATATATTTCTATTGGTTTTCAGTACTTTTGTGCTGGTTAACCTTACAATATTGCCACGTTCCATTTCCCAAGTTTTTGTTATCGTCCCAAAACACCACACGATTCTCAGCGCAAACCGCGCCTGCAGTTTTCGAGAAGGTTCCGGACTGTAGTAGATCATTTCGATAAGGTCACGCCCACTGTGCGAATGGTACAGATTGTTCTGGAACCTACGCCACCGCCAGCGATAACGCTAGCACATTCGACAGCAAGAGTATAAATGCCGACGCGCTTCGCCGCTTGTCAGTTGTTGATCGAAGGCTGACGCTCCGTTCGCCGCTATCAGTCCGAGACTGCTATCTGTGCAAGACTACTGCTGTAATTGGACTTTCGTTTACCGGGCACAGGTTCGCCCAAATAAACAGTTAAATCCCAACACGAAGTCTCCTGTCTTCGGCCACGTCACGACCCCGTGACATCTAGTGGAGGTGCTGCTTCGTTCATGTACCGGACGCCCCCGTCAAGCCGTGAACCCAGCCCACATCGCGGAGAAGACACCGACGGCAACCAGGAGCAGCGAACAAGCCGCCGACAGCAAGGGCTACCACCGGAGTACGGGCTTCTACAAGACAAGGCGCGGAAGGCCAAGGCCATGACCTCTACTGCAACGACGATGACAACCGGAGCGTCCCAGCCCGCGATCGTCATTCATCAACCCAGGGAACCACCAACGTTTCATGGGTCATCGTTTGAAGACCCGGAAACCTGGCTAGAAACATACGACCGTGTGGCCGCCCTCAACCACTGGGACAACGAATAAAAGCTCCGTCGTGTGTATTTCTACCTGGAAGGCACCGCAAGGACCTGGCTAGAGAATCGTGAGTCCACGCTCCGAACGTGGGATGTCTTCTGCGGCGCATTTCTGCAAACGTTCGCGAGCGTCGCTCGCAAAGAGAGGGCTGCTGCTCTACTAGAGACTCGGGTTCAGCTACCAAATGAGAAGGTTGGAATTTTCACAGAGGAGATGACCCGCCTATTTCGTCACGCTGACCCAGACATGCCTGAGGAGAAGAAAGTTCGTTTCCTCATGCGAGGTGTCAAACAGGAGCTCTTCGCGGGACTAATGAGGAATCCACCGAACACCGTCCAAGAATTTGTATCCGAGGCGACCACCATCGAAAAAACCCTTGACATGCGCACCAGACAGTATAATCGTCGCCTGACTCCAGAATGCGCTGCTGCTCAAACCAGTGACTCCGAAAACCTGCGTGAAACAATCCGAGCGATCGTGCGGGAAGAGCTGCGCAAACTGTTGCCTTCGGCGCACCCTCAAGTGGATTTGATCGCCGACATTGTGCAAGAAGAAGTTCGGCAATCACTTCGAATTCCCCAAACACCGCTGCCCGAGCCAGAAACTATGAGCTACGCCGCTGCAGTGCACCACAACGCTCCTGCCCGTCCACGCCAAAACGCCGCCCCGTCGCACTTCCGTCGCCAGACACCACCGCCGCCACCACCCCCACCGACGACCTACCGTTCACCAGCGGGCCAGTGCAGTGCACCGAGAAAAACCGACGTTTGGCGCACCCCTGACCACCGCCCACTGTGCTACCACTGCGGCGAGGCCGGGCACACTTACCGCCGTTGCCAGTACCCACAGATGGGACTGCGTGGCTTCGCCGTCGATGCACCACGTCCGCAGCCAGGGGAACGACCACGTGATATCGCCGACTACCTGACAGGAACTCAATGGACACCCCGAAGTCCTTCCCGTTCGCCGTCGCCCAGCCGCCGCATGTCACCGCACCCCCGGCAGTACTCCGGCCCAACGCGGGGCCGGTTTCCTAGCCCGTATCCGGAAAACTAAGGGCAGCAACCGGTGGAGGTGCGGTTGCTGTGCGACGAACTACCGAAGATCCTCCTCCTCTGACGACGACGACGCGACGGAGCTTTCCGAACACAATGCCCACCAGGCAAAGCCCTGGCGGCGAAAGCTCACTTACCAGAGGTGGCCTGACGACGCAACATGGAAGCAGCGGAACAAGCCGACGCAGCCGTGACCCGACGCCACGCCCTAACTGTAATGCGAGACGGCGAACTAGCGACATCGACGTTCTTATCGACAGCCACAGAGTGACCGCACTCGTCGATACTGCAGCCGACTATTCTGTCATCAGTGGGTCGTTCGCCGCGAAGTTAAAGAAAGTTAGGACAGCTTGGAAAGGCCCTGAAATCTGCACAGCCGGAGGTCACCCCGTAACGCCTACAGGAATCTGCACAGCGAGAGTCACCATTAACGGCCGTATTTATCCTACAGACTTCGTAGTCCTACAGCGTTGCTCGAGAGATGTCATCCTTGGCATGGACTTCTTCTGCCTCCATGGTGCTGTCATCAACCTAAAAATAAAGTCGATAACGTTATCCACAGAAGAAGCACTACCACCGCGCACACCGTCAGGACACCTTGCCTTGAATGTGCTGGAAGAACAAGTCACCATTCCGCCTCGCTCAAGCGTCATTATTTCAGACGGTGCTCCTAAATCACCTGACTTGGAAGGCGTCGTTGAAGGCAGTCAGCATCTGTTGGTCACCCGAAATATTTGCGTCGCAAGAGGAATTGCAGAGCTGCGGGGAGGCAAAGCAACGGTTATGCTCACGAATTTCAGCAATGAGTACAAACATGTGAACAAAGGAACAACGGTCGCATACATCGAAGAAATTGTCGAAGCCACCAGTGCTTTCACCCTCGCCGATTCTGCGGAACCTGCTCAGAGGAACCAAGCCCCTCCCATAGCTTTCGACGTCAATCCCAGACTTCCGAACGATAAGCAAGAACAGCTCAAGGCCCTGCTCCTGCAATACGAAGATTGCTTTTCGTCGTCATCGAAAATTCGGCAGACCCCAATCACGAAACATCGCATCATAACCGAAGAAAATGCCAGACCACTCAGTCAGAGTCCGTACAGGGTTTCGACGCGAGAACGTGAGGCCATGAAGAGACAAGTTGATGAAATGCTGCGGGATGACATTATCCAGCCGTCCAAGAGTCCATGGGCATCCCCTGTGGTGTTAGTGAAGAAAAAGGATGGGACCCTACGTATCTGCGTCGATTATCGCCGCCTGAACAAAATCACAAGAAAGGAAGTGTATCCTCTCTCACGAATAGACGACGCACTTGATCGGCTCCATAACGCCAAGTACTTTTCGTCAATGGACCTCAAGACTGGCTATTGGCAAATCGAAGTCGACGAAAGAGACCGAGAGAAGACGGCGTTTATAACACCGGACGGCCTCTTCGAGTTTAAGGTGATGTCCTTCGGCCTTTGCTCAGCGCCTGCAACTTTTCAACGCGTTATGGATACAGTACTGGCAGGATTGAAATGGCAGACTTGCCTTGTGTACTTGGACGACGTCGTCGTGTTTTCCTCGAGTTTCGACGAGCATCTTCGGCGCCTTGAAGCTGTACTTCAAGCCATCAAGACGTCCGGACTCACACTGAAGCCAGAAAAGTGCAGATTTGCGTATGAGGAGCTCTTGTTTCTGGGACACGTTATCAGCAAGTCTGGAGTTCGTCCCGATCCACGGAAAACAGCCGCCATCGCCGAATTCCCGCCGCCCACTGACAAGAAGGCCGCGCGCCGATTTCTGGGCCTGTGCGCCTATTATAGGCGGTTCGTGAAAAACTTCGCCCGCATCGCCGATCCTCTCAGTAACCTTACCAAGGCCGACGTGGAGTTCAAGTGGGAAACGCCACAGGAACACGCTTTCCAGGAGCTTAAACATCGCCTCCAGACGCCTCCGTTACTTGCCCATTTCGACGAATTCGCCGAGACAGAAATACATACTGACGCAAGCAGCGTAGGTCTTGGCGCCGTTCTTGTGCAGAGGGCTGACGGACTTGAAAGGGTTATTAGTTACGCCAGCCGATCGCTATCCAAGGCAGAAGCAAATTATTCCACAACAGAAAAGGAGTGCCTCGCCATCATCTGGGCTACGTCGAAATTTCGCCCCTACCTCTACGGCAGGCCCTTCAAAGTTGTGAGCGACCACCACGCCTTGTGTTGGCTAGCCACCTTGAAGGACCCTTCAGGTCGCCTCGCACGATGGAGCCTGAGACTTAAAGAGTATGACATTACTGTCATTTACAAGTCCGGCAAAAAA